GGCAGGACCAACTCCACAGGGAACGAGGGCACCTGGGGCAGCTCGGGGTCCCACCCCCGCCCACCCAGACAGGAGCGGCAGTGGCACCTGCTGGTCGCGAGGGTCTCCGACTTCAGGCTGCTGTTCACAGCCGCCGCGAATAGACGCAGACACATCTGTCATGCAGATTCTGTTAGAATCTAGAAGTTGGCCTGACATCCTACCCCCGGCCCAGCATGGGAGGAGGGAGAATGGGGCGGGAGAGATCTCTTAAGGAAACTCAAGAGGAGTTGGAGGGGCGTTGAGGAGAGGTGTGGCTAAGAAGGAAAAGAGGAGAAGTGGGAGGAGAACGGGGTCTGGTGGGGTCTGGCAGAGAAAGGGTGTGAGGAGGAAGGCAGTGAGGGCGATGAGGATGGTGACCCACCACAATAGCCCTCGTCCTTCCCTGGTCAAGCGGCAGTGAAATGCGACACAGAGGGGTGCAGAATGGTGTGGGTGAGCGCGGGTCTGCGAGGTGGCAGGAAGAAGGCGCCGGGGAAGAGATGGCGTCGAGCTGTTGGCATCCGATCAGATGGCAAGCCCAGACCCCCGTGAGCGCGCAGGGCACGGCAGCCCAGAGGGGAGGCCAAAGTGAGGAGGCCTGAGCCCCTCTCCCTCCTCCTTGACTCTCCAGTGCTCAGCCTCCACCCCAGCACAGCCTGCGCCCTAGGTACCGGCTGCCGCGGGGCAGCCCTGGGGGAGGCCGGCGCTGAGCTCCGCGTGCTGCACGCTTCTGTCACAGACAAGGCTCCCCGCTTGTGAGATGGGAGAAAGGTGGGATGGTGGTGGGGGAGAAGGACCTCACTGGGTCTGGGCAAGGGCAGACGTGCCCGCAATAACGTGTTCTACACGCACAGACCTCCCAGGAGAGGCAAGTTCTCAAGGCAGCTGACCCGGGGTCTTCCCATAGGTGCCCCGTGAAAGGGGCGGGCCCAGTTTGCTTTCCCCCACCTCGAGTTAGTTTGACTTACGACTCCTGAATACCTGGACACATGGCGTGAGGCCTCTTTGACTCCTCTCGGGCTCTGTAAATGTGGGGGTAACCAACACAGATTTTCTAGTTTCCCCGAGGAAGAAGGGGAGCAAGTGACACTGTATTGCACAAAGCAAAGCTTCCCAACACTTTGGGGAGCAGGTGTGTGGCACAGTGGTTAAGCTGCTGCGGGGGATGCCTGCACACCATACTGGAGTGCCAGGCTCCAGTCCTGGCTACGCGCAGCTTCTGCTCCAGCTTCCTGCTAGCGCACACGCTGGGGGCGGCAGAAGACGGCTCAAGTGCGTGGGTCTCTGCCACCCATGTGATCGACCCGAATGGAATTCCATGCTTCTGGCCTCAGTCTGGCCCAGTCTCAGCTTTGGCAGGCGTTTGGAGAATGAATCAGCAGATGGGATATCTCGTTTTATCTACTGGTCTCCCTTTCTTTCACTTTCTGCCTTTCAAAAAAAAATTAAAAATAACTTCCTAGCATTCCTGCTTAACCAGCTGTGTGCGTTCCCCCGGATTTCCTCTCCTTTCTCCAGGTGCCCTGGCCCTCCCCTCCCCCAGGGTGGTCTCTGCAGCCTCGCTGGACCCTCTCTTCACACTCCCCTCCCCTCCACAGCCTCTCACAGCCCTCCTGCTCCCAGCCCCCTCTCAACAAAAGCCCTGCACCTGTTCAAGCAGTCTCAGCCAAGGAAAAGCTCATCCTTTGCCAAAAGGTTTTGTTCTCCCTCATCCCCCATTCCTCCTCCCGCTCGCGGTCTGTTTTCCATCACCGCTGTGTGTCCTTGAGTCATCTCGCCCACTGGCCGGGGAGCTCCTAAGACCATGTCTGGTTCAGCCCTGCGACTCGTCCAGCATTGCTGCCTCGAGAGCATTCGTGCACGTTTTCATGGAAGAATGCTGAGCTGGGGGCCTGAGTGAGGCCACAGGAGGCGCAGCTGAGTTCTGCGTCTATCTTGGAGGCAAGCAGGAACCACTGAAGGTTCTTGAGCTAGGGCACGACTCTTCAGGAAGACCAGTCTTTACAGGGACTAATGAAGCCAGGGGCAGCGAGGTGTGGGGGAGAAGGAGGAGGAGTTCGGAGGCTGTGCCCAAAGTGAAGGTGCGTGGCACCGGGTGTCAGAGGGGTGGGATGTGAAGACGGGACACACAGATGCAGGAAGGAAGCAGTGCCCTGGGCTCAGCAAGACAACGGGCCTGCGGTTACACAGTTCAGAGCCGGAACTGGAACTCAAGTCCTCAACGCCCAACCTGGACAAACTCTTTGGTAGTGGGTCTCTAGGGAGGCAGGCAAGCACAGAGTCATGGAGGCTGCTGGGGAGGCCAAGTGTGCCAGGCCGGCGGCCCTGGCTGCTCCTCCTGCTCACCTGCTGACATGCCGCAGGAGACCCTACTCTGGGTGGGGAGGGGCACCGAGGAGCACCCCGTGGGGGGATAGTCAACGGGCTCCTCTCTCTCCCAGGGGCTGGGTGGGTGGAGGCGTGTAGCCTGGGTCCCCGAGGACTAGCCGAGGGATGTGGGTGGCTGTGACAGGTCCTGGCGTGGTGGGGCAGCGTCCCACAGCTTCCACTGCTAAAGCTCAAGTCCCAGCCATACCACTTTCTCCCCGAACCCCAGAATCAGGGCCCTCCTTCAAGGCACGAGGCACCGCTGTGAGGCCTTGCACCCTTGGGATCTGCCCTCCATAGCCTCACAGTCCTGCGCTTCTGCTCCAGTTCAACACGACAAAACTGCTGTGTGACTTTGGCCAAATCACCTAACCCCTCTGTGCTCCTTGTCTGCAAAGGGCAGGTGGTCATAATGCTGCCCACAGGGTTCTGAGATGGTGAAATGAGCTGACACACAGAGCGGCTGCTCCACACCCGCGGTGCGGCCACACCTCGCCTGCTGGTTGCTGAGGGTCTCTCCCCCACCTCTCAGCCAGTTCCTCAAGACAGGACAGGATCACATGTGGCTCATCTGCCCCTCCCCCGGGGCCTGACGAGCCCAGGGTGCCCGCGCACACGAGACCCACTGATCCCATCCAGGAGCACTGACCATGCACGTGCCCTGCGCCAGGACCTGCGAGAAGACCTGGGAGCTGAAAGAGGGGAGAAAGGCAATGCACTTGTGGGAGTCAAGGCCGACTGTCTCCATGTGCCTGCGTGGTGCTCGCCTCCCCTCCCCCCCTCCCAGTGCAGTGAGGCTTGCAGCGCCCGGTGAAGCCCAAGCAGATGGAGCTGAACTGGAGGGTCCCAGGCGACCCACGGCAGCAGCATTTCAGGATGAGCAGATGGTGATGGCGCCGAGAAAAGCCCACCACTAGGAGGCCGCGGGGCAGGACCTGGCACCCAAGCCCCTCACATCTCCAGGAGGGGTGCTCACAGCAACCCCCAAGGACAGCCGCCCCCCGCCCCAGCCTCTGTCCAGGGAACTGCCTGCCAAAGGAGTTCCGAGCAACATCCATTCATTCTCTGGGCTCTCCCGGATACCGGCTCCTGGGTTCAGGGTATTTTTAGCTCAGGCCCAGGAGGCCGAGCCCATGTTTCCCAGCCCTCCCTGTTGCTCCTGGCTCAGCATGAGAGGTGGCCGGGCAGGGGAGGGGGCCCGGGCATACCTGGCACCCCAGGCCACAGCTGCCTCATTGTCCCTCTGGGAGGACCCGGGCTGCTGCTGCCGCCACTGACCCAGGGCTCCGAGCATTCTTTCCTGCTGATTCATCACGGGGAATGTTTTGGGCCCAGCTGGGGCGGGGCGGGGGCACTGGGGGGGCACTCAGACATGAGTGGCCAGGGGTGGCCCCCAGCAGCAGGGTCAGGAACCACAAAGGTCCACCTTGCCATCCGACCCTTATCACACCATGCCTTGGCAGTGCTTGCTGGTCTATCTGCCTCCCCCACCAGACTGGGCAGGCCCCTCCCAGTGTCTAGCACGAGCAGAGCAGAAAATCAATAAAGGTTTACTGAATGAATGAGCCTTTTGGAAGGACTCTCGGGCAAGGTGGGAGCCAAGAGGGAAACCAGGCGAGACCAGTGGGGGCCTGGCATCCTCTGCCCCTTGCAGAGATGCAGTCACCGGGGCCCTGGGGGTGACCAGAACTGTGGCCAAGAAACAGGACTGGGGCTGGGACCCCCTCCTCGCTCAGCCCGTTGTGCTTTTTTTTTTTTTTTTTTTAATTCCACAGCCTCCTGCCCCACACAGTGCACACAACCCTCCCCCTCCCCCCCATCAGCAGCCGGAGGAGACCACCTCACTCAGTCCTGTGAAGGCTGCAGGGAATTTATGCTTTCCACTTTATTGTGTATGACCGGGGGAAGCCAGGGCCGGCTCCTGGGGCTCGGTGTTCCCAGCTGCACAATGGGCAGAACAGGATGGCACCCCATTACCGCATCCTGTAAATTTATGGGGACTAGGACAGTGCAGAGGCCTGCTACTGCATCGGGCACATACCCACTCTATCGCGACTGCGTTTTGAACCCAGCTCTCACCTGAGCCCCCAGAACAGGGTGTCTGGTAACCGCGCCCAGGGGGTTCGGACCCTGCAGAAGGGAGGTGCACCCACGGCCAGGGCGCTGTGCTGCGCGCACCTGCTCCCGCCGAGGCTCTGAACGGGACCCTGGGGTGGGCGCTGTCCCCTGTGTCAGGCAGAGGAGGCACAGGGCCCACAGGCTGCCCGGGAACGCTCAGCCGCCCCGTGCCTCCCACCGCACCGCGCGCCACTGGGTTCCGCCAAACAGCTGTCCCCACCCGCATTGGGCCCCCAGCGACTTCCCGGCCGGGGACTTCCCGGGCCGGCGGACTCCCCCGCCCCCGGACTGAGTCCCGTCCCGTCCCGTCCCGCCGGGGCGCCTGGCGAAGAGCCGGCCAGGCGGGGCGCCCGCCCACTCCAGGCCCGCCCGGGGGCGGTGCCTGCGGGGCCTCGGCCGCGGCCGGCTGGGGGCTGGGGGCCAAGGCGACGGGCGGATAAAAGGGCCCCAGGGCGCCCCGGGAGGCCCGCTACCGCCGCTCCGCCGTGGCGCCCGTCCCAGCCCCGGACCGTCCGCGCTCCACCGGTGAGCTCCCGCCTGGCCCCGGGTCTGCCTCTTGCTGTGCTGTCTGTCCGCCCTTCTGTCTCTGAGGGTTCCCGGAGGCTGGGAGGGAGGGAGTCCCGTGGGCAGCCAGCCTAGCCCCTCGGTGCTCAGCAGCCTGCTACCCATGAGACCAGGGACCAAGCTGGGGCTCTCGGCCCAAGGCTCCCTACTCCTGCGCCCTGGCCCCGGATGTCTGCGTGCCTGCTCTGTGCGTGGACTGTGTTCTCTGCCTTCTCACCCAGGGAGGGGCCGGGGAAGGGCAGGGTGGCTCAGGTGTCGCTCCTGTGACTTGGGGGACAAGGAGCCAGGGCACAGTGACTGTGCTGGGGTGAGAGGGAACGAGGAGTGGGAGCGGGGAGACGACTTCAGCCCCCTCCTTTCCCAGCCTGGACAGGTAAGCTCCAGCCCATTTGCTGGCGCTGCCTCAGGCCCAAAGCCGGTGATCCCAGGGAGGGCAGAGGGCTGAGAGGGAGACCCGACGCGGCCCAACCCCCAAGAGCCTCCAGAGAAGGGGTTGTGGGGACCCCACAATAGCACCCTCATGCTGTCTCCCCAATGCCTTTGGGCATTGGCCCTCTTCCAGCCCTCCCTTCAGGGCCAGGGCAGGACAGGTGCCAGCGTCCCCCGGCAGCACCTGGAGCAGGTGCCACTCTGCCTCGAGCTGGCAAGGTCCTGGAACTGTCACTTGGTGGCACTCAGTGCTGGCACTCACCCCAGAGCCTTCACACCGCGGCCTGGGTCATAAATCTCCCCGTCACAGGGTGGAATTTCATTCAGCTCCCTGCCCCCCCCCCCCCCATCCATCTCCCCATGGGTTTGAGGACCGGCTTCTAGCCAGGCTGCTGGGGTCGAATCCTGCCAGGGCAATGAACTTCTCTGAGCCTCATTTTCTCATCTGGAAAATGGACAGAGGATTCAATAGATATTTCTAAATGGACTATTATCCCCACCTCCCTCCCTCCCTCTCTCCTCCACCCCCCATCTCTCTTCCCACACTCGTCCTGTCCCTTCTCCTTTCCTTCAGAAAGTAACGGTCACTGTGGAGACTGCTCCCTCCCTAAGACTTTGTGGCCTGGTCCTCTTCCTTGCCTGGTGATGGGGAATGGGTGTGTGGAGACCGGTTGTGGGGGCGGGAATCCGCCAACACACGAAGTACTAGGGAGGCGGGGGACCGGGAGGCCTCCGTGGAGGAGCATTTGGCCTGGGTGCGGATGCTAGGAGTTTAACAATCCAATGCAGAGGGGGCGGGTACTCCAGCTAGGAGGGTGAGAGCAAAGACACGGAGGCTGGGTAACGCATGAGATGGGTGAGAACAAAAAGGGTGGGAGCCCTGCAGCGGGGGCAGGCCGAGTGAAGAGGGCGCTAGGTGGTCTGACTCCCAGGTCCTGCTGCTGCCCAGCCACCTCATGGCAGCTTTCATGGGAGGGAGCTGCCCTGGCCTGGAGCCTACCCTGTCCCTGTGTTGGTACCTCGGAGGGGAGGGATGCTGCCGGCTTGGGACTGTCCACAGCCTTGCTGTGCGACATCAGCCACAAGGCAAGAGCAGACCTACCCAGCTCTCCCAGCAGGTCCATCTGCTGGGAGGGTCCCAGCAGGCACGTTGTAGAGCCCCCCCCCCCCCCGCCACTGCTACCCCCTTGTCTTACAGGTGTTGCAGCTGAGGCTCGGAGAGGAAACCCCTGAGTCCAGGCCCACCGCAGTCTGGTGGCAGTCAGAGCATCCTGACTGCTGCAGGGGAGGGGGGGGTGTCGTTTCTCTGTCCAGACCCAGTGTGACCCCTGTGGCCTCAGGGGAGCTTTGAGGAAATGGGACCTTGAAGCAGCAGAGAGTGATAGATCAATTACTGTAATCGGGAGCTCTAACTCCGCACCATCTTTTTTTTTTTTTTAAGACCATTGATTACTTCTGGGTTAACTTTCAAAGCTAAGAAAGCCATAATGTTAATGATGGGGACGTGAACTCCGCTGTGGTGACAGGCTCCCAAGGACCCAGAGTAGGGAGTGACATGAAGAAAGCAGTTTAAGTCTGGAACGGGAGCACAGGGGGGTCCCAGCGGGCAGTGTATGGTGAGAATGCGGTACAAGCAGCGCACAGCCCCCGCGAGGAGAGTGTGGGCTCCCCATGCTGGGGGAGGGGGAGCTGCAGGGCATTGCGGGTGCTGGGGACTCGAAATCAGACAGGACATGGCCTCTATTCCCCTCTCTGTACAAAGAAGGGATGAGACCTACCTAGACCACTATTTCTACTGTAGCTGTTACAGAGCCTGTCCTGAGCGTTTACCACGTGTTCATTCATTCACTCTTCGCAAAAATCCCATAAAGCTGGTGTTGTTATGCCCATTTTACAGAGGGAGGTGCTGAGAAATTGCCCAGGCTCATCGAGAAACTAACTGGGGAGGTGGAACTTGAGAGTGGGTGGTCCAGCTTTCCAGTCTGCACTCTGCAGCCCGGTGCTGTGCCACAGCCCGACTGCACAGCCAGTGCTGCCTCTACACCTGTCACCACGCGGCACTGGGGACACAGCACACAGCCCTCTGCTCTGAGCTTCCTGAGAGCTGTCTTCACTTCTGTGTCCCTGCATTTGGCCTAGTAACCGTCCTGGAGCAGGTTTCCAGTCACGTTTGTTCAATCAATGCACAGATAATGAGCTCAGATGTACCTGGAGCTATGGCTTGGGGATGTCATTGGGTATCTAAGCTGAAAGAGATACGAAACTTCACTTTAGAAGCAAGGAATTAGGGTCTAAAAGTTTAACATTTGCCCCGGACACACAGCAAATGCGCCCTTTCTGCTCCAACAGTCCATGCACCTGTCTGTGGTGAAGGGGGCATTTGCCCACTTGATCAGGGTTGGAGACTCCTCCTGGGAACCCCCCAACCCATGACTCGAGGGGTAGGCCACCTCCTCTTCCTCCCTGTGTGGCACCAAAGAGGCCTGCGGGCAGGGGAGAGGCGATCAGCCGTGTTTACTCATTCTGCAGGTGCCTTGGCCCCAGCGGACCTTGCAGTGACCATGACGTGGTCCTCCCCGGCCACCTTCTCCCTGTTCCTGTTGCTGCTGCTGCTGCTGGGCCAGGCCCCTCCTAGCAATCCACAGTCACTGGGCACCGTGAAGCTCCGGCTGGTGGGCCCAGGAAGCAGGCCGGAGGAGGGCCGCCTGGAGGTGCTGCACCAGGGCCAGTGGGGAACGGTGTGCGATGATGACTTCGGTCTCCAGGAGGCCACAGTGGCCTGCCGCCAGCTGGGTTTCGAGGCTGCCTTGACCTGGGCCCACAGCGCCAAATATGGCCAAGGGGAAGGTGAGTGGCTGGTGCTGCCCAGCAGGAGGGTGAAGAAGATGGTGGCAGGCTTCTCTCGGGATGGGGCTCACCGTGGCTCCAGCAGAACGCATCGGACACCCACCCATCCTTTAACACACAGCCCGAATGCTCTTCTCCATAAGGCATTTCCTCAGCCCCAGCTGCAGATGACTCCTTGTAATGAGGCATCATCGCTGCCATCACCACCTGTCAACTCTAAAGTCCTTAACATAAATTGGCATGTTGCCATGTACTGAGTGCTTAGCAAACCTTGCAGAATAAACGGATGGGTGGATGGATGAAGAGGTGAGGGTATAGGTGAGTCACTACACCTACCTGGAATTTCAGTAACCAGATTCCATAGGACCCAATGCCAAGAAGAGGTAGCAGCAGGGTTGTGTATACTGAGACCCCGGGAGGACCATCAACCCACCTGACCCCACTTGCTACTTAACATTTAGAAGAAGGGGCTCAGCAGGGCCTGTGGCCTGCCTCTCTCTGCCCATCCTTGAGCATCACCCGTGCTCTCCCCAACAGGACCCATCTGGCTGGACAATGTGCGTTGTGGGGGCACCGAGAGCTCTCTGGACCAGTGTGGCTCTAACGGCTGGGGTGTGAGCGACTGCAGCCACTCCGAAGATGTTGGGGTGGTGTGCCACCCCAAGCGTCAGCGTGGCTACTTTTCTGAGAAGGTCTCCAATGCCCTCGGGCCCCAGGTGAGGAGGCTATTTAGGCCCAGGCCTGAGCCAAGAGCTGGATCAGGGGACAAGCCTGGAGGAGGAGGAGGCAGGAAGGAAAGGGAGCAGAGCTTGAGCCAAGCAGCATCCTGGGGCCCTGGCCATGAGCAGCTGCATGGGTAGAGGGCTTCAGCTTGATGCAGGGCAGGTCGGGGATCAAAGGCTGGGGCTGCTGCTCCCCACCAGGAAGGCAGAAGGGGGGAAGGGGCTGCTTCACCCACAAGGCTAGGCCACAATTGCTGCCTCTTCCCAGCACAAACAACCCCAAGCTAAAAACAGCTCAAGCCAAACAACAGGAGCCGGCAGGGCAGCACTCTGCTCCCACCCTCTGCTGCCAGGCAGCCTCCAGCCCGAGGACAGCTGGCCCTGGCCACAATGGGAGACTGCCCTCGTTCAGATCACCCAGGTTTGGGGGCGGGGGTTGTGGGCCAGAGGATCCTGCTGGTAGTGTTAAGCAACCAGTCTGTGCCCACCTCAGCTCTCGCCAGCTGCCGTGAAGAAGGCCCCTCTGCAAGCCCAGCAGAAACCCCCTCAGCTGCAGGGTCTCCCATCCTGGTTCCAGTGAGGGCTCAGGTCCATTTGCCTCTCTGCAGTTTAACCTATTTGAGGAACTGAGGGAGAGGTCCCACGCAAACTGAGGTCTGCCTCTTATTCAACATGTGGCCTTCAAAGAATGTCTCTCCCTTCCCTGGGCCTTGGTTTCACGGCCTGTCCAGTGAGGAGCCAAGGAGGATGGTCTAAGCCCCGCCCCCTTTCCTGAGTGACAGTTTGCAGCAGCTCGGAGGAAGGGCAGGGACCCGGGGCCCACAGTGACTGCGCCCTACAGGGCCGGCGGCTGGAGGAGGTACGGCTCAAGCCCATCCTTGCTAGTGCCAAACGGCGCCTCCCAGTGACTGAGGGCGCCGTGGAGGTGAAGTACGAGGGCCATTGGCGGCAGGTGTGTGACCAGGGCTGGACCATGAACAACAGCAGGGTGGTGTGCGGGATGCTGGGCTTCCCCAGTGAAGTGCCTGTCAACAACCCCTACTACAGGTAAGAGGGGGACGGGACTGAGGACCGGATGGAGGTGTGATTATGGGGTGGTGGCTGGGAGTGTGTGTGCAAGTGCATGCGTGCAAGTCTTTGTGTGTGTGTGTGGCTGCTGGCATGTGATGTGTGAAGGGTGTGTGAGGTGTGCAGGAGTGTGTGTACATGTGTGATGAGTATGTAAGAGCATGTGTGTAACTGTGAGGTGTGAGTGTGTGAGTGTGTGTGTGGTCATGAGACCCTGCAGGGTTCAGGGAGGGCTGGTGGGCTGGGCTGGCAGGTGTGGGTGTCTGGGGCAGGACAATGAGTGGATGTGGGAGTGGGAGGCAAACAGGCTGGTTGAGGACTGTGCCTGGACTTGTGAGACCTGGATCCCTCAGGATAACAAGAGGAGAGTGGATAAGGATGAATGGAAGATCCTGGGACAGACCTAGACACAGTCAGAAACCAAACAGAAATGACTGCCCAGAATGCCCCCACACTGGCAACTGTGCAAAACATTGTGTCCTCGACTACAAACTAGAGTTTTCTGAAGATGCTGGCAGTGCCACCCAAGGACAGGTCCTCTGTGTCCTGGTCTCAGGTCTACCAGTAACTGTCTGTGGGCCTTCGGCAGGGCATCGATTATCCATTCCGCTGTGATTATCTGCACTCCACTGCAGTCTGCCTGAGCCAGGCTGTGACTGGGGTGCATGTAAGCGGGGCATGGGTGGGGCAGCTCTGGGAGAGGAGACAAAGTGCTGTCAGAAATGCGAGCTCTCGCAGCAGGCCGCATCAGCACAAGAAGTGACAACCACACTCAGTTCCACCAGCTCCAAGGCAGTGCACTCTGTGTGTTTCTCAGCGAGCGAGAATCTCCTGCAGGACCTGTCACCTACCCTCAGCCACCTCACTCTGCCATGCTCCATTCAAGGGGGTGGCAGTCCTTGCTGCTCTCACCTGTGTCTGGAGGAGGAGGGTGCTGGGCTGCCACGTGGCTGATCCCCGGGGATGACTGGGATGCAAGGCCCTGGCTCCCCACTGCCTGGTAATTGCACAGCTGGGCCCTGCTGACTCACCCACCACCCATGAGAAGGGCGGCCATGATTATAGCCTCGGTGCCTCTGGGTGGCAGCCCTCTCACACCCACCCCAAGCAAGGCCTTTAACTTCCATCTGTCCCCAGAGGACTTTCCCTGGGTCCTTTCAGGGCACTTCCTGAAGGCTCCCCTTCACCTGGATGGGGGTGAGCTTGAGCTGCAGCCCAGGACAGAATAGACCTCACTTCATGACTAGCTGAGGGACCCTGCTTGCCTTCCCTGCAAAATGGGATCATTGCTATTTGTGGGGTGGCCACTTATCAGCACTGAGGTAAGATTTATGACCAGGTTAGCAGACTCCAAAGTGCGATGTAAACATAAGGACAACTATAAGGAACCAGGGTGGCAGGGGCTGGGACTTTTGCACCCCTCCCCTCCCTATCTGTTTTCTCCCACCACAGGAAAGTCTGGAATTTGAAGCTGAAGGACCCCAAGTCCAGGTGAGGAGCAGCACCCTCAGGGGAGGATGAAAGGGGGTGTGGCGTGAGGAGTCACCCTCACCTCCCTGTCCCTCTGCCTTGGCCTCCTTTGGTCTGGAAGCTCCTCCCTCAACCCCTCCTCCACCCTCAGTCTCCTCTGTCTTGCAGGCTGAAGGGCCTGACTAATAAGAATTCTTTCTGGATCCATCGAGTAAACTGTCTGGGGACAGAACCTCACATGGCCAACTGCCAGGTGCAGGTGGCTCCGGCGCAGGGCAAGCTGCGGCCAGCCTGCCCAGGAGGCATGCATGCTGTGGTCAACTGTGTGGCAGGGCCCCGCTTCCGCCCCCCAAAGGCAAAGCCTCGGCGCAAGGAGTCCAGGGAGGAGGTGAGCCCCAAGGGACCCTGCACCCTATGTGCAGGACCCTTCAGGGTCAGGGGCCATGGGGTGCTCCAGGACAGGCAGGAGAGGAGAAAGCAACTGAACTGGGATGAGGAGACCATGTCACGAGACAGCAGAACCTTGGAATTTATTTTAAAAGGACTGTTTATAACCCTACCATAAATGGAAAGTTGACATCACCCACCTTGAGTAAAACGTAACCATAAAAAGTCATTAAGCTGTAGCTGCAGCTCATGACAGCAGAAGGGACTGCCCTGAGCCCGGCCCTTTGTTCTGAAATCTAGATGAGCAGCACTGGCGTGTGGGGCGGTGGGTAAAGTCGCCGCCTGCAACACTGGCATCTCATACAGGTGCTGGTTCGAGTCCCAGCTGCTCCACTTCCAATCCAGTTCCTTGCTAACGTACCTGGAAAGCAGCAGTAGATGGCCCGAGTACTTGGATCCTTGCCACCTATGTGGGAGACCCAGGCGAAGCTCCTGGCTTCAGCCTGGCCCAGCCCCACTGCTGTTGTGGCCATATGGAAAGTGAACCAACAGATAAATCTCTTATCTCCCTTCCCCTCCCCCACTTTGCCTTTCAAACAAATAAATCTTTAAAAAAATAGTAGACGAGCAAGTGCTAGTGAGATGTTAAGACACATCCAGCACCACACTGGCTGAGGGGTTAACTGTCATTGAAAAAAATGGGGTGGAAAAATGCCTGTTCAAGGTGGTAGCTACAGGCAGGCAGAGGCCATGGCCTGGCTCCTGGCTGTGGTGGCTCAACACCTGCTGGCTACCCTCCCTGAAGCAAGTTTCCTCCCCCCAGGAGCTGAGGGTGCGCCTACGGTCGGGGGCCCAGGTGGGTGAGGGCCGGGTGGAAGTGCTCATGAACCGCCAGTGGGGCACGGTCTGTGACCACAGGTGGGACCTCATCTCCGCCAGCGTCGTGTGTCGTCAGCTTGGGTTTGGCTCTGCTCGAGAGGCTCTCTTTGGGGCCCAGCTGGGCCAAGGTGAGTGAGGGGCCTATGGTGGGATGAGGAGAAACCTGTATCACTGCCCCATCTCTTGGTGGCCTTGGGGTGTCAGGGCCCAGGATGTCCCCCTTTGCAAGGGAAACCACGGCTGTGGGCCTCACTGCACCTCTCTCCCCACAGGGCTAGGGCCCATCCATCTGAGTGAGGTGCGCTGCAGGGGATATGAGCGCACCCTCAGTGACTGCCTTGCCCTGGAAGGCTCCCAGAATGGTTGTCAACATGACAATGATGCTGCTGTCAGGTGCAACGTCCCCGACATGGGCTTCCAGAGTCAGGTGAGCTCAGGTCTGGGCATGGCCTCACGTATCACAGGGAGCCAGCATGGAGGGGCTGCCCTGGCAACAGTCTACCTTCCCTGGGAGTCAGCCTGGAGAGCCCTTTCCTCTGAGTCTCGCCTGGTCGTGCCCACAGTCTCAGACACGTCAGAGGGCCCCAGGAACTCTGCAGGTGGTGGCATCCCCCACACACCTACCCTCTCAGATTCCCTGTGAAGGTGAGAAGGTGGCTAGGGGAGAGTGCCACAGGCTGTCAGCACTGCAGCTGTGTGGGATGTTCACGTTCAAGTGTCACTGTGGGAGAGGTGGTGGACGTGAAAGCCCTATGTAACTGAGGCATCATTAATGGCAGGATTTCGGGTAGGACAGCAAGAGCCCCTGGCGCAAGCGCTTTGAGTCAGGTTTCTGTAGCGGGCAGCAACATTCGGGACTAGCTAGTGAACTCCCTTCCATTTACAGAAGAGACAAGTCCAAAGAGGACTGTCTCGTCCAGGATCCCTGAGCAGGAGTCCAGCTTGCAGTCCTCCACCATGGCTGTCCCACTGCTCATACACCTGTGACCACTGCAGGTGCGCTTGGCTGGTGGCCGCAGCCCTGAGGAGGGCATAGTGGAGGTACAGGTGGAGGTGAATGGAGTCCAACGTTGGGGGACCGTGTGCAGTGACCACTGGGGACTCAATGAAGCCATGGTGGTCTGCCGACAGCTCGGCCTGGGTTTTGCCAGCCATGCCATCAAGGTAGGTCCCTGCCTCATTCCTTCTCTATAGTTTCCGATCCTTCTAGACTAAGAGGACCAAAACTTCCAGTGCGAAGCTTCTGGCCCTTCACCCATTCATTCAGCAATTCATTACTGAGTCAGACTACGGGCTGATTAACATAGTCCCTGCCTCAGGAGCATGCAGTCCAGTGAAGGAAGCAGTCATTAGTAACATGTTCACACAGCCAGGGACACAGTACCTTGTGTGTAGAAAAGAAGCTAAGTCAGATGAGGCAAAAGGAGGAATAAGTGGCCAGGCAAAGGCCCTGTAGTCAGAGAAAGCTTGATTCAGTCGAAGAAGTTAGGGAGAGAGTGGTGTGAAGTGTACAGGTACAGGAGGGAGGAGCAAGACCATTCAAAGCTTGCAATCTGGTGTTTTTTCTTTCTCTTCTTAACGACTTCCTTTGGTGTTTGGAAAACAATTGGGTGGAGACTAACATGGATGTAGGGATGCATACTCAGAAGGCAAGAAAAGATGCTGATTGCACAAGCTAGAGGCAATCCAAGAAGCAATAAATGGATCGATTCAAAGGGTACTAATGAGACAAAACCAAGAGGACTGGGGCATGACTGTAATGGAGAAACCTAAGCACTGCATCCACACTGGCTGCCAGGCAATGCCTGGGCAGACCTCACCTGGAGAACTGGGCTCAACTCTGAGTACAGACGGTAGCTTGGGCAGTGTGAGGAATGCTCGGGCAGAATGGGAACCCTGCCTCTGGGTTTGTGAGGAAGGGAACAGAGGCTTCCACATGGTAGAGAGATGGGAACAGGGCAGATGGCGGTCACATTGCCTCAATGCATGGAAGAACTTTCTAATATTATAGGGATCCAAATGTGGCATGGACTGCCCCAGGGGTTCTCATGGTTAAAGATTTTCAGGCAAAGGCTGGGCCTACCCCAATGGGGGTGACATATGAAAAGGCCCAAATCTGAGAGAGGTGCCAGGGATGATTCCACAGGTCCCTCTCTGCTCTGACTGGGTGAGTCTGGCTCTTTTCTTAGGATACCTGGTACTGGCAGGGCACACCGGGGGCCGGAGAAGTGGTGATGAGTGGAGTGGGCTGCCTGGGCACCGAGCAAGCTCTGCAGCAGTGTCAGAGGCACGGGCCAGTGCACTGCTCCCACGGCACTGGGCGCTTCTCAGCAGGAGTCTCCTGTACCAGCAGTGAGTAATGGGAGGGGCTCACAGGGTGTGGGGCAGGGCCTCCGTGTCAGCTTTGCTCCATGGTGGCAGGGTGGGAGAGCGGAAGCATCAGCTCTGCTATTTCCCCATGGTGTGTGGCCTGTTAAATCAGGATACAAACCCTGCCCTGCTACCTCATGGAGTTACCACGAGAATGAAAACAGAAACTGTGAAAGCACAAGGATTTTTCAATTTTGAGGTTATGACCAACAGCTGAAAAACAATGAAACAGAATAGAAAACATGTATTTAGTAATGGTGGTATTTTTTTTTCTTGGAGAAGTGTGTGTGTGCTAGGCTACAATAGAAAATATATTTCTTACTGTGGTTTGTGAGAAAAAAAAAAGTTAGAAAGCTATTGTGGAAGATATATAAGTGTGAAGCACCCCAGGGACCCAAGGCCAGCTGTGTTCTGTTCCTGAGTTGAGGATTTATCTTAAAGGATTTAGGACAAGACCACTCTGTGACATGGGTGTGCTCCACAAACATAGACTTTCAGCACCTGTTTGACATTGCCAATCGTGTCTTAGATAACTATACTTAATCTAACGGCTACAGGCTGGCACCAACTCAAGTGGCCACTTGACCTTTATAGCCAGACTTCAACCCCCACACACCCTTAACACTTGTCAGTGAGCTCTAAGCTTCCTCTTGGCCCACTCCACCCTGGTAAAAACTCGGGGCCACTCAGTACACCCTGCCCAGCAGTGAGGCCTCACAGCATGCTGACTCTCCCTGGGAACACGGTGGCAGCTCTGTTCTCGAATGCATTTTATATTTCCCAACAGCTGGGCACATGTGCTAGACAGCTTCCGTAGTCACCCCTGTTTCTCCTCTCTGACTTTGCTCATTTCTTTCCTTCCTTAACTCTCCTCATTCCTTGAAAGGCCTCCTTCTTTCCTTCGGGAACTTCAGGGTTTGTCAGTGGGCACATCTTAGCTCTCTCCAAAATACATCACAGAAATTTTGACAGCATTTTTGCATCGTACAGCGAACTAGCCAAATCCTCACTCCCACTCTCAATGCCTACCCATGGAAATAAACCAGTGCCCCCTCCCACTTTTGTCATCACCCACAAGATGCCTTTGCCAAAATACCTACACAGTAACCTTGTGTTTTTGCACAAGCAAGTACTGTAAATGGGCAACTCTTCTCTTCTGAGTTAAACAGCAACAGCTGTGTTGCTGCACACTTCTGTAGTGACACATGGAGGCAAAGTGATGGTGCAAAGCCATGAGACTTTATGGGAGGGCAAGAGCTCCTGCAACAGGGAAGGAAAGGGAAAGGCAGTGAGCCACAGACACCAGCAGGTAAGTAAGGCATTTATGCGCAGAAAAGCATCTGAAATGCCCGGGATGCCTCAGAAGAGAAATATATGGGGACACCTGTGATAGCCATCAGGCTGTGACAGGCACCCTGGCCTAAGTGTGGACCTATGAACTGCAAAATAGACTAGCAGGGAAGAACTCAAGACCAGGCAGAAAGATAAGCTCGCCACCTCTCCCTTCCAGTCCTCCCTTCCTCTCTGCCCAATCCCTTACACTCAAGGAGCTGAGGCCCTGAGAGAGACAGTGACTTGGCTGAAGTCACCACACTGGGCAGCAGCAGCTCTCTCTGAGACGACTGTACGGCTTAGGCTACACACAGGTACTTGTACAGGTTGAAAAATATTTACAAAGAAATACTAGCTTATACCAATTGCTTGTTTACTGTGGGCCACTGATCTAAGCACATTATGGGTATTATATCAATAGCACTATTATTATCTGCAGCTTACAGATAACAAAAATGACAGGCAAAAACATAAAGCAGTCACACAGCTGGTAAATGGCAGAGTTAGAAATGAAGCCGAAAGTGAACCCACAGGGCCTGGCTTCAAAGGCCAACAAGCTTAACTGACACTTCAGCTGGCTACCTCCTAGGTTAGTGACTGGTTTCTCCTGCTACTGTTATTAGAACTCTCATCTCCTGACTCTTAAACTGTCCTTTGTCTGGGGGCAAGCCCATGCTCCGTGCAGGAGACAAGACGGACTGCTTTCCTGCCCTTGGCCTCACTGCCACGCTCTGCCATTCAGGTGCTCCAGACCTGGTGATGAATGCCCAGCTAGTGCAGGAGACGGCCTACTTGGAAGACCGCCCGCTCAGCCTGCTGTACTGTGCCCACGAGGAGAACTGCCTTTCCCGGTCTGCTGACCACATGGACTGGCCGTACGGACACCGACGCCTGCTGCGCTTCTCCTCACAGATTTACAACCTGGGCCGGGCTGATTTTCGTCCCAAAACCGGACGCCACAGCTGGATTTGGCACCAGTGTCACAGGTGTCTAACTATGTCTTGGCTCCAGAGGTTAAGGACAAAAAACAAGGCCCAGAGACCAGTCTCTTTCCTGGCCTTAGGCACACTTTCATGAGAGGAGCCTGCACCCTGGACACATCTTCCTTCCCAGACATCTTACCGGCCTTGCCCCAAGGAGGCAATCAGGGAATCTGAGTAGCATCTGCTGGCCCTCTGTGTCTTGCCTTCCCTGGGTGAACCTGTGTTGATGACGCTCGTGAGGTCTCTTTCCCACAGCAATGTCCCACAGAGGCTACTGCCAGACGCTGACTCTGTCAGAACAGTAATGGCCAAGTTTTCTAATGTTGGGTTTAGGCTTTGTCTTCAGAAGCCAGGTAAGGTGAGGACTTGTAGAAACCTGGATGCTCAAAATAGACATACTATCCAGGATGCTGGCTCTGCAGAAAAAGTGTGTTGGTTCCTGAGCATCAAGCCATGGCCCAGAGAATGGCAGGAACAGATGGGTCCTAAAAAGGAAACAGTGAGCATTCCTTCCTATCAGGAGTCTCCAGGTCCAATAGAAGGAGACACAATGCCTGTGACAAAGGCTGAATGGGGGAAAAAAAAAAGACAGAAAGAAAAACTGTTTTTCCTTGAGGACACAGCCGTGGGTAGAGAAGGCAGAGGACTGGGCAGTGGCTCTGGGCCGTGGGCTGCCTGAGTTAATGTGCACCTTCCCCCGGAGTGTGCACAGCTATCATTACAGGGCACTGGAGACAATGGCAGCAATTTGGTCTGAGGCTGACAGGGAGCAGAGTGAGTGCCCCTCCCCAGCAGCTCCGCGCTAGGGCTGGTCGTGCCGGGGCCCCTTCCTTCTACCTGGGGTTCAGGCCTCGCAGCCAGGCACCAGGTGACGGGGGCACCTGTACTTTTCTGCCTGGCAGGGATGCTAGCAAAGCAGTCAGTGGGCCATACAAACCTTGGTGTGGGTAGGAGAGGGGCACTGCCCTGTTTAACTCTCCCTTGTGGGAGATTCTGGGGCCCAGCACCTCCATCTTCCCTGGCCCTCTCCCGTAGCTGCTTGGCTGACAGCTCTGCCTTTTCTGCAGGCACTACCACAGCATCGAGGTCTTCACCCACTATGATCTGCTCACTCTCAATGGCTCCAAGGTGGCTGAGGGACACAAAGCCAGCTTCTGTCTAGAAGACACAAACTGTCCAGCAGGTACATGGTTTCTTATCAGCATATGCTCCTCATGTTATGTTCCTCAGCCCCTGTGGGGTCAGGCTCCCCTCTGCCCTTTACAATGGCCCCAGGCACCTGGAGATCTGGTTTGGGAGCAACACTCCAGGCAATTACAAAAGATCCATTTCTCATCTCATCTGTGTCATCTTTGCTAAGCTGAGGGCAGTGGTTGTTTGATTCCTGTTTGCATTTCCAGAGTTCCTAACCTTTTAGAATGGCCCAGTACACAGTGGAACTTAAGAGTGCTGGAAGCATGGATGGGTAAATAGACGGACAAAAATAAATCAGCCGGCGCCGCAGCTCAATAGGCTAATGGTCCACCTAGCGGCGCCGGTTCTAGTCCCGGTTGGGGTGCTGGATTCTGTCCCAGTTGCCCCTCTTCCAGGCCAGCTCTCTGCTGTGGCCCGGGAAGGCAGTGGAGGATGGCCCAAGTGCTAGGGTCCTGCACCCCATGGGAGACCAGGAGAAGCACCTGGCTCCTGCCTTATGGATCAGCGCGGTGCACCGGCCGTGGCGGCCATTGGAGGGTGAACCAACGGCAAAAGGAAGACCTTTCTCTGTCTCTCTCTCACTGTCCACTCTGCCTGCTAAATAAATAAATCAGCCCAGTATGGCTGGAATCTTTTAACCACATTTCCTAGACCAACAGAGGTTTTCACTAAAGCATCCAAAGTAGAAATCTCTTTGTCACAGATGTGGTTTGCTATGGTGCTGGATTCATAGTTAGTAGAAATTCTGGCTAGTCATTTAACTGAACCTCAGGTCTCTAATCTGTGAACTGGGCATACTTGCACAGAGCAGGTCAAGCTGGTGTAAGGATAGCATTTAAGACCTAACAGAGTGCTTCAGTGCTTCGACTATGCCCTTCCTTACAGGAATGCAGAGGCGCTATGCATGTGCCAACTTCGGAGAACAGGGAGTGACTGTAGGCTGCTGGGACACCTACCGGCATGACATCGACTGCCAGTGGGTGGACATCACAGATGTGGGCCCAGGGGACTATATCTTCCAGGTGAGGATCCTTTGGGATTTCCCACAGGAGCTCCAATTTCTCCAGAAATCCTTAAACCTTCCCTGAGATCAAGTGAAGAAAGAGGGTTTCACATGTATTCTCCAATGGGGCTATCATGTGAAGGAGCTATGTTGTGGAAAGAACACTTGGTCAAAATCCAAAGGACCTGAGTTTGAATTCTGGTTCAATGGGCACAGGGCAGATCACAGCTTTTCAGTTGTGACTGCTCAGGCTCTGTTGTAAAACAGGGATATTAATGCCTACTTCCTGGGGGTGATTTTAAGGATTAGTGATAAAAAGCATAGAAGGAAGCCCATTTTATAAAGTAGGTACAACCTAAGATGTGACAGATTTTATACTTGTCAGCTCACCTAGAAATCAAATCTTCCTTTTTCAATTGTCCCCCCTTTCTCCAGGTGGTTGTGAACCCCAAATATGAGGTGGCAGAGTCAGATTTCTCCAACAACATGATGAGATGCCGCTGCAAGTACGACGGGCACCGGGTTTGGCTGCACAACTGCCACACAGGTAACTGAGTCACCTTGGGACCAGCCTTACATGGGCTCAGGGAGCTGAAGGCTCTAAATCACCCTGGGTGTGATCTGTATGTGTGCATAAAAGGCTAGGGATGCAACAGAGATGAATTTCCTTTGACAACTTGACAGGTAGATTTCTAGAACTGGTCAGGCCATCAACCTCACCAAAAAACTACTTCTATATCCATTTGCCTTCAAGGCTGTCTACTTGTAAACTTAAGTTTCTACTCTGACCTAGAATCTTTCCTGTCACCTCAGGCCATGTCAGAATTTTTCTGGTCCATTATTTTCCCTCTTTCAAATGGTCTTTCTCAGCTGCCTCCTTCCTAAGCGGATACCCTCACAAAATAGTCCTCCTTGATCTGTGCTACTACTCCAGCTGTGATCAATGCTTAAAAAAGAGAACAAAGTGAACAGGGACACTTACAGGATTGGGCCTGTCAGACAAAGAAAGAAGCAACAATCCACGGCTAGGGATGGGAGGAAGGGGCAGAGTAAGGAGGTAGCTATTACTGGTTTGTAAAGAATCCTTCTATTTTCATGTTTCATGTGCCTATATTTTCACAAGAGTGTATGCACTTGCAGCCATACTTGCCTACATGGGGTGGGTGGGGTGGGGCAGAGTTGTCCATTTAATCAACAGTTTTATTAAGGCCTACTGTTGTGTTGAACATCATGCCATAGTAGAAGTAAGATGTGGGAGCTCAGTGTCAAGCAGGGCATACAGTTAGATCCATAAATAGATAAGCCCAGTGCTCTTCAATAACTCAGACAGGAATGAACTAAATGCTGAGCAAGCAAAGAGAAAAAGCAACTACCTGGGGACTAAAAAAGGTTTCTGAGGGAGTGATATTTGAGCTAGGTTCTAAAGGAAGGTCAAAAATCAAAGATAAACAGTAGGAGAAAGAATAAAATTGGGCTTCAGATGTCTTCACTGGGTTCCAAATCCAATTTGACTACTTTCCCGCTTCAAAGCAAATGAAGAAATCCCAACTTGAGTTTTCTCCACTGTAAAAGTGGTTTGTGTACTTCCAACCTCCTAAAGTTCTTTATAGGTAGGGTTATGGTGGTTTAAGATAATGATGGACTTTGGACTTTGTGCTAAGGGCTTCTTAGAACCACTGAGAAATTTCAGTCAGGGAATTATTTTTGTTTTCAAAAAATAACTGGCAATACATAGAAGACAGAGAAAAGAACGAACAGTCTAAAGTTCCAAATTTGTGTGACTATTGAATAGATGTTCTTCTGACATTAAATGAGATGGCGGTATGGGAGAAAGTAAGGAATTGGCATCCAAGGCCATGTCTACAGAGACAGCAGGTCCTCCATAATGCTGGAATCAGTCTGCAAGGGATCCAGAGCAGTGACGAGGCAAAGAACAACCATTGCAACTCTGCAGGTTCTTTCACCAATGATTACAGACCTGTCAGGGTCCTCACAGAAACAGAAGGCACACTCAGCCGAGAGTCTGGAGTTACTTAAAGAAAAATACTTTTTTTTGTTAATAAAAGATTTATTTTTTCAAATATGGAGTTACAGAGAGAGAGGGAGAGAGAGAGAGAGATCTTTCATCTACTGATTAACTCCCCAAATGGCTGCAACAACTGGGGCTGGCCCATGTGGAAACCAGACCTGGAACCCCATCCAGGTCTCCCACTTGGGTGGCAGGGGCCAAGTATTTGGGTTATCTTGTGCTGCTTTCCTAGGCACATTAGCAGGGAGCTGGATTATAAGTGGAGCAGCCAGGACTTGAACTGGCACTCATATGCGATGCTGGTGTTACAGGTGGCAGCTTAACTCACTGTGCCCCAACACCAGCCCCACAAAAGGATTCCTTACAGAGGTTATGCATAGGACTAAAGAAACAAGGAGATATTGAGACCTCCATGTATAAACAAGAGTGAAAAACTGTCATTCCCTTTAGGCTTCAAGGGGTAAGGGATGTGCTGGAGCCAGGGCAAGACTCAAGCATAGAGCTGGAGCTGGAGTCAAAAGACTATCACTTCTGGAAGAAATGCCCAACCTCTCTTTCCCCTTCCATCCTCTAAACTTCCTGCTGTAGCTTCATACTGACCTAACTCACTTAGATACCAGAGGACAAGGGAGCCAGGGTGATGCCAAGATGCGATCTCTAGAGGTCAAGACAGAGAGAATAAAGTTCAAAGAATAAATCTGGGTAAGAGAGCAAAGGAGAAGCAGCAGCACCCCCCTGCCCACACAACAGCCTATTCTTTCTGGTGGCCGTGAAACCACACACCTGGCCAGGGTCTGTATCTATAGTATGACTAGTGTTTATGCCCTCGACTGATCTGATTTTAAGGTTAAACTGGGCAGAATGTGTCTGTGTAAACTTGTCAGGGAAGGGTTGGCTATTCAGCTGTTTTCCTTTGGCCCACAGGAGATTCATACCGAGCCAATGCAGAGCTCTCCCTGGAACAGGAACAGAGACTCAGGAACAACCTCATCTGAAGCCATCACTGCACACTCCTACTGCTGCCTACACACCAACACCAGATACCTCAGCTTACTGGAGCCATGCCCTTCACAGAGCCCTAATTCATAGTAAATGGGGCCAGTGCCAAGGGGCATCGAGTACCTGCTCAGGAAGCCTTTGGATGGCAAGATCACCAAACCAGGATGGTACTGCTCCCTTTGGGTGGCTATGGGCCTCTCCCCGTAGGGCCTGTGGCCTGTGGAGTATGGTCTCCATGCTTTAGTCAGCTGAGCTCCTCTTCCACAAGGAGATCCAATTTTTCCTGGATCTTGCTAGAGTTCTGGATTCAGGACCAGTCCCCCATCTAGCAGTGCTTTGCGAATGTCTTGGAGTAGAGGACAGAGGACTCACACAGGAGATGAGGTCAGCTCACTGCTAGGGGCTCAAAGCAACACACAGTCTCAGAGTCACAACTATCAGAGATGCTGAAGGATTCAGCCCCTCACTTTATCTGTCCCCACTTGGAACCCACCTCTGCTCTGCAGGTCTGTTCTTCAGCAGTCTTAACTATCCTACTGCACCCCCCAGAAGCTTAGGCCTCGGCATCCCCTAATCTCCTGAATGGCCAACACTGCCAGGTACTGAGTGCTCGAGAAGGGCAAGTTTCACAGACACGGCTAGACAGGGCCTTTCTGCAGAGCAGCACAAGAAGGCCAAGCAAGAAGACCACTGAGCTAACAGGGACCTCAGCTCCTGCCAGGACCTCTGCTAAGGAAAAAAACTGTGTGTCAAATAATCTGGCAGACAATCCAATCTCTCTCAGGACCACCATGCATCTCAGGATTGGCCTAGGCTTCAGGTCTCAACCAAATGAACTTTGCATTGAATGAATTTTTGTAATGGAAAGAACATCAGTCAAACAAGCCACTCATCTCTATAGGAACATGAAGACAGATGTGATAGAGTGAGGGACAAAAGACTCAGGAGAAATCACAAGGGGGAACATTTAATTTCGTTAAGGACTGAACTTAGGAAAAGCCATCACCCTGCTTGGCTTGACTGCACCATGCTCTTGCTCAGGTAGTATATAATTCCATGGTCTTGGACACGAGTCTTGATCTTTTCTCCTTTGAGACACACTTTAAAGATAATCCGTACAGGTATGACCCCTCCCCCCATCATCAATAAAGGTTGCTCATTATGGACTGCTACAAAGAAAAAGAGCAGCTGTGGTTATGTACCGTTGCCAGCACACTAACTTCACTCCTTTTCACTCTCTGTGCTGGGGACTAGGGTACACATGACACACATACTACTCATGACAGCCCCAGGATGTTTTTCAAATCAGCTATTAGCCTATTAGCTGCTTCCCAATTACCCTTCCCAGGATCAATGCTGAAATAGGGGTTAGAAAGGTTAAAAGATGAAAAGTAGAAACAAGAAGGTGAAGTCCAAGGATTGTAAACTTTCCTAACAACGCTTACAAAACTAGAAGGAATGGTACCAGATACAGGAAATTTGTAACAGTACTCCCCTCCACAAATCACAATAACAACCCCCTCCTTAGGAAGGAAAAAAAGACATGTTCTGGGGTATCCTCTCTGACAAGGCAGTGCTTTCTTCCTTCTTCACCTTCCCTCTACTCCTCGTCTCCTTCATTAGGCGAATGAAGCATTATATTTTAGCATGGCAGTTTAGGTAAACAAGGGAAGGACTGATTTCCTGTTGGATTCAGCAAACATTTCCCAAACAGTAACAACATTATACTCATACATGCAGTTAATGGCCTGTGAAGGGAGGTGCAGCTAGCAGGACAGCGAGTGGTGACATGTGAATAGATTCAGGTATGGAGGTACCCTCAGCTTCTTGCTGGATCTAGTTTCCACCATGGCTACAAAAAGCAGGTCAGGCAGACAGCCACCAGCTCTGGTGTCAGTCTTGCTACCCACATCACTTGTGTGATGGACGCAGCCAGTTCTAATTCCTGGAAAAAGCTACACAAAGGTTGTACTGTTATACCTCTGAGTTGGAAGGGAAGAACATGGGAAGACTGATGGCTGGCATAACTTAATAACTAGATGAGGGATGTTAACAGAATACCAACCAACAAATTCCAGGCAGAACCCAAAACCTCAGAAGACTTTCAACTTGCATAATTTAGTCTCAGAGAAACTAAAGTGCTAGGAACCTCTACTCCTCAGAAGCCTAATCTACTTCTATTTTATAAAGAATTTTCACTCTATGAGGAGTATATTAGGATTCATGGAGACTATGTCTTTCTATTATAAATTGCAGATGATTGTGGGATTAGATGTTTAACATATACAAAATAATGTTACGTGAACAGCAGACTATATTAGCTGTCTTCCCGGACATCTCACAAAGGAGCCAGGGGAAGCTATTGTGTGCTCTCCAGTGAAGTCACCTTGCTTTAGATATGGCCAAGCATTTGATTCCCCTCTGGCAAGCCTGAGGGAATGTATGCTGGGCAGGATCTCTCACCTCCAGCTGGAACCCAACCCAAGCTACTGGGAGAATATATAACTAAAGAGCACATTCTCAACTAATGGTAGAAATAGAGAACTCCCTACCTGTCAAGTGTTGGTTAAAAAAAAATTTAAAAATCTTTCCCCTGGGTCTGCTTGTAAGGATAAATCAGAAATTTATAGGTAGCTGGTTATTAGATGAAAACGGGGATAGGCTACAGTATAGAGTATTAGAATGAGAACAAAAGTAACTTCTCAAAATTATGAGATGTATAAAAAAGCTGGGCAATAAACATGGAGCTCTATGTTACCATCAACAATGCCACTCAAAGCTAAAATACAGCTAGAGAGGGGAAGCCCACTTACAGGCAAGTGACAGGCAGTCATCTCTTTTTCACTGCTCAAGGTCATTCTTAGCCTTGTAGAATAAACAAAACATAGCAAAGGCTTAGCTCAGAGGCACACCATTGATTGTGAAGCCATGCTGCAGTTCCCTACATTTTCTTCCTCTCAGTCATATTATTCAAACAGATCTACCCATCACAGAGAAGTCTGTTCCATGAAGACAGCACAAATTCTGCAACTGTAAGCCCATGAGAGGGACACTGGTCTAAGCAATAGTGACAGAGTCAAGGGAACAACTTATTTAATCCCCTAAACTTGGCATGGAAGCACCAAACAGGAGCAAGGAAAACTGGCAGAACTGACCAAGAATGAGAAAAGAATGCTGAGGAACAGTGAGAGACCTCTAAGATTGGAACAGCAGCAGGAGTTCTTTGGTCAAAACTAAGTCCCAAATCCAGTGTCGTATGAGGAATATTTGAACAGAATCCCACTCCCCCATGTTTTAGGCACTGCTAACAATCCATCATTATCATGGGCACTAAATCAAAAAATGAAACTCTTGCCCTACTTTAAAGAATGGGACACTATTTCTTGCCACCTCAGCATATAAGGTCTAGCACTGCCATTTTTTCAGTGTAGAACTACTTTCTAAAAACACTGAGAATGCAGGTATGAGATGGATAAAGCCTGAGCTGATGGCTCTGACTTGTCCATGTCCTTCAGGAAATCTCTCTCGCTGCCTAGAGATGTTTTATTTTATCTTGGCTGCTCATCACTGTAATGGATGGTCTGGTGCTGCTTGCCAAGTGTCTCTGGCACAGCTGAGAAGATCATACCAAAAACATGCTATGTACCAGATGTTTTCTGCAGGATGTCAAAATCTGACAGAGGAGGGAAAAGGCAAGAGGTTTGGGTGGGGGTGTCCAAGAAGGAAGGGGAGAGGAGCTACCACACATCAATCCCAGGGTGGTCACTTTTGTGGAATATGTTGGAACCGGGAAATGATCAGCTCTCTACTCGGTAGGGTTAATATGGGCATAAAGATAAGAGAGCTTCTCTCTTATTTCTTTGTGGGAATGACAAGATTGACAAATACCAGAGTGATATATGCCATAAAATGGGCTTTAATATATCCCTCTTACAACATGATATTACTGCTTAAACTGGAACTGGCACACAGCTCCAAGACTGGCTGTCTACGAGGAATGGAGCTGGCACTAGCTGCTGTGCGGCTGGAGCAGCCCCAGGCACTTAGCTAGTCCAGGTTCTGGACTCCAAATACCCACATCTGCTGCACTGCACGAACTCTGGAGTCCTGGGACTGGCAGTGTAGCTTCCCTGTCTTCCAAACCCACCACATACCATTCTTTCTCTTTGTACTAACTGCTCCACACTTGCCCCCCTCCCATGCTGTCAATATTGCTGTTTTCAGCTTTGTGAGGGACTAAGGAATGCTCTGCCTTTGCGAGGCCTAAATCTTCCGTCACTGCAGGTTTGAATCCTCTGTTTGCTTTTGCTTTAAATATCTTGGTGAACCACGCTAACATGACTTGCATAGTCCAGAAGACTCATGGAAGTCACACCTTCCAGATATCTTGCTAGCTGATGGCTCCCTTCTACACCCACCACAGTAGTATATTCCAAAGAACTGCAGTTAGGAGTGAAGACAGGAATCTACCTTCTTTATATACCCATTCAGTCTTTGCCTCCATCACTTTTAACTCTATAACATGCACACCTGCATGTGCAGAGCTCTGGAAACATCCTCTTATCTGAAGACTATGGAAACATTTTCTGAGTCATAAAGTTATCTCTTTCTTTGGGTGATGTTCAAACTGCAGACTGGCCTCTGCCTTCCCAGATGTCTTCCCGTTGCTTGGCTTCCAATCGTTTTCTCTCTGTAAATAAGGATTAAACATGGTTGTATATTTCACATAACAAGCAAATTACAAGTCAACTTTAATCATGAGACAGGAGAATTTTCAGGACTCATCTTACCTAATTCCAATAGTTACTATCTAATTTTCCATGTGCAATTTTAGTAGAAACAACACTACTATAAGTCTTTATATTTATTACTGTATACCAAAAACCAGAAAGCTCTAGGGCTAATGGAAATTACAAGTATTTGGAATAAGTCAGAATTTAGCAAGACTTAGATTCTAGTTTTGCTGATATGTATTTGTATTAATTCCATTTTTAAATGTGTTTCATGCTTCAGTATTATTACCAGTTTACTAATCCTTATAAATATTTTGATAAGGATCAAGAAGATGTTTCAATATTCTTCTTCTATCTTGTTGCTCAAATGGAAATAGCTTTATTTATATCTTTCTGCTATCTCTTTATTGAAAAAATACTTAGAGGCAAACCAAATTTTCATATTTGTCAGAGTACTTTCAGGAGTCAGAAATGTTCTGGAATACACACTTCCAATAAGGAAAAAAGTACACAAATCTGGGCAATCCATATTCAATTTTTAATATGCAAGCTTGGTTCTCCATTTAACATTTTCTCTAAGGCCTAAGAAAATATAGAACATACACGGTTTGGTAGCCCAAGTACTGCATTAGGTGCCACAAAACCAATTCTAATTTCATGGCTATTAATTATCTTTCACCATAAAATGTAGATTGTAAACTTAAATGCTTCCTTTTAAGTACTATTGTTACAAATTGATAATGTCTATGAAAGACTTTGCAATGAACCAGGGGGATTACAAAAATCAACATAAGTTTAGAGTCAACACTATTTTGACATCTCTTTCCCTATCAATTGAATCCTTTATAAAATTCCTAAACTATATTTGACTGTATTCTAAAGGCAAAGAAGTTAGTCAGGAAGCTTAGCCCACTGGCACCTGGAAATGTGAGAGAGAGAAATTTGCTGCTATTTGGGCACCATCTTGTGGCATTATCTGAATATAGCAGCAAAGTTACAAGAGGCAAAAATGGGACTGGGGTCAGCAATTGCAAAGGGAAGGTTGATTAACATAATGCCCTGGGACTCAGTTCCAAGGTAGGCTTGGGTTGAAGGATAACTGCTGGCTTGTCTAAAGGATTCCAGGATTTCTTAGGAAGGCAGCATGGTTTTGATTCTTAGAAACACAAAGAAGTTTGGAAGAGATCTAAAGGCAACTTTGGATGAAATCAATCAAACATTGGTTCTGGATTCTGAGGAAAAATAAGGACACCAGAAAAGTAAATTATCAAAACTTAAATTTTTCAATAAGGCAGCAGACAAGTCATTAGGGTAATATGGAAAGTTACAGGAAATCCAGGAACAGTGTCCATAATCCAAAATTTTCAAACTCAAAACAATTTTGAAAACAAGATTTTTCCCCCTAACCTTGGGCCAAAATGCCATGATGACTGTGGAAAGCTCACTTGCAAGGATATGAGGCTGTTTATAGTCTTTATATATCCCATTTAATGTGAATTAATAGTCATACATTTTGGAGCAGAAATTTCAATATAATGTGTCTGGTTTTGGGGTTATGAAACATTTATTATGGAATCTATATTACCATTCTAAAATCAGAAAAGTTCAGAATTCTGAAACATTTCTTATCCTAATGCTATCTAATAAAAAAGGTAGCTCTGTATTAACAAATACATGTAAATGTAATAGGAAATTCCAGTGGTAAAGCATGAGAAAACTAGTAAGTACAGAGAAGACAAATTGAGAAACACACAAACACTCAAATAGTGAAAATGTGGAGGCACATTTAGAAACACAGAACATGAACAGATTAGAAAAATATAGGTTAGGATGGAAGTTAAAAAAGATTTCTTCATCTTTAAAATGAAGAAATGAAGCTTGGAGACCTTAAGTGATTTGCCAAAGGTTACATAATCAGTAAAAGAACTGAAATTGGAACCCAGATTCTTAATTGTTAGGTAGCATATTTTCCACTATTCTCACATCTGAAAATACCTACAAAGAAAATGAAAAAAGTGTGAAAAAATTAACTGACCAAAGATAAAGAAACATGTCATCCCTTTATTAAAGAGAAAGCAAAGCAGATAATAGCCGATAGACTGCATTTTAAAAGCTCCTATCAACTTCAGCTTTAACAATTAAAAAAAGTAAACTAAAAAGAAAGCCAAACAACAGCCTTGAGGGTAAGGTACAAGGAAGAAGAGAATTAGCATGAAATGATTAACCTAAGGCATTCACATAAGCTGGCCCTGAAGACTTTCATTTCCCAGTATAATAAATAAATCAACAGAAATGAGTACATTAAATGAGCTGATTGAAATCATGGTACAATCAACCACCATTTCTCACTGAGGGAATGGAAACTGTGGAAGACTGAAAAAAGGCCAGCTCTGTGTTGTGTTTTAAAAACATAATAATAGGGACCTGCGCTGTTGGCGCAGTGGGTTAACATCCTGGCCTGAAGCGCCGGCATCCCATATGGGTGCCGGTTCGAGCCCCGGCTGCTCCACTTTCAATCCAACTCTCTGTCTGCTATGGCCTGGGAAAGCAGTAGAAGATGGCCCAAGTCCTTGGGCTCCTGCACCTGCGTGGGAGACCGGGAAGAAGCTCCTGGCTCCTGACTGACGCAGTTCTGGCTGTTGTGGCCAATTGGAGAGTGAACCATTGGATGGAAGACCTCTCTCTCTCTCTCTCTCTCTCTCTCTGCCATTCCTCTCTCTGTGTAACTCTGACTTTCAAATAAATAAATAAATCCATATATATATATATATATATATATAATGGAATGTAAACTGAAGACTTTATTTAAAAAAATTTTTTTAAAAAGATTTATTTATTTGAAAGAGTTACAGGGAGAGAGGGAGAGACAGAAAGAGATCTTCCATCTGTTGGTTTACTTCCCAGATGCAGCAAGGGTTGGGGCTGGGCCAGGCCAAAGTCAGGAGCCTAAAACTCCATCCAGGTCTCCCATGTGGGTATAGGGGCCCAAATAACTGGACATCTTCTGCTGCTTTCCCAAGCACATGAGCAGGGAGCAGGATCAGAGAGAAGTGGAGCAGCAGGGACCCCACTGCATCACAGGCAGTGGCTTAACCCACTGCATCACAACACCAACCCCATGACTTTCAAAAATACTTCTACATCTAAGAAAACTCATCATGAAATCCACTTGTAGTCACCTACAAGGTAATAATCAACATTCTTTATGAAGGACAAGTCTGGCCAAACTACTCTAATTGCTTTCTTTTGTACAGTGACATTTCTGGTAGATCAAAGGGAAGTAATCTAAGTAACCTCTTAATTTTAGCAAGGTTTTAGATTTTGAATTTACCAAATAATTGTATTTAATCATCAATATACTGGGAAAATATAATCCAAATCACATAAGAGGGCATTATGATTAACAATAATTATCAGTGTATTAAGTATCGATACAGGCCGGCGCCGCAGCTCACTAGGCTAATCCTCCGCCTTGCGGTGCCGGCACACCGGGTTCTAGTCCCAGTCGGGGCACCGGATACTTTGCCGGTTGCCCCTCTTCCAGGCCAGCTCTCTGCTGTGGCCAGGGAAGGCAGTGGAGGATGGCCCAAATGCTTGGGCCCTGCACCCCATGGGAGACCAGGAGAAGCACCTGCCTCCTGCCTTCGGATCAGCGCGGTGCGCCGGCCGCAGCACGCCAGCCGTGGCGGCCATTGGAGGGTGAACCAACGGCAAAGGAAGACCTTTCTCTCTGTCTCTCTCACTGTCCACTCTGCCTGTCAGAAAAAAAAAAAAAAAAGTATCGATACAAAGAACCACATGCTATTTACTTTAGAAACAGTCAGTCCCGATGGGTGACATTTTCATCTCTGGTGTAGGCAAGGGAAGTAAGTTTACTGAACTGCAGTCAATACTCAAAAAATGGGCTAATACTTCTTATCAGGAAAATATAATTAAAATGAAAGAAAATATGGGTTAAAAATGAAGGGAACTTCTAACATCAGGGGAGAAAAGACACCAAGAAAATACCCTAAGATCTAGATTATGTTAGCACTGCAGCAGTGCCCTTTAAGCCAAAATAATGGAATGCTTAAAGTGGATCTCAGAAGGCAGCAACTGTGATTCAATTTGTTTTATTACAGTTGACTAAGTAGCCTATGGAGATGATTTTTAAATTCTTAGTGATTTAATTAATCAAACTAGGTGACCAAGCTGCTTACTTACTTTGCCTTTCAGGCCTGTGACTCAAAAGATGGCCTTTTAGAAGCAGCCAATTAATCATTTATTCCCCCAGAATAAAATGGAAACAAGTTATGAAATAAAATTATAGTAGGCTTTAAAAGTGAGAAGGTAGCTTATTTGGAAAGGTAAATAACATCATCTCCAATTTTAGGTAAGAATCAAGTGTTTGGATAAGAGGAATGTGGGAAAATCATACATATTCCTGAATTTGGCCTTTAAAAATGTGTTTTTATGATTAAGTCAAATACAAAGCACTCAAGGATGATCTATGCTTTCATTTCCCACTCTCAGTGTAGCTTTGATCTGTTATGCACTCTGCTGGACTAAAAAACACTTTGCTCATGTTCAGCGACTATGTACTAATAAAGTTCTCTTCCTTCTAATATTTACTACATGATTTGCTTAAGAGGATTTGGCAACTTTTTCTCAATTCACCAGGAGTACTCTTATTTTCTGAATCTCCTTTTTAAAGACTAAGGGACTGACTTCTCATTAAAAGGCTAAGAAGATCCAAATAGGGTACAAAAATCTAGTGCATTTAAAACAAAAAAATCACAAATTCCAAACTTGTTTATTATGAAAGCTTCATATGTAGAGTTCAACTCTGAGTTCTATAAACTTAGAAACTAAGTTCTATAACTTAGAAAGTTCAGTGTAGAATCATTAACAAGATTTATGAAGAAAAAGTAACCAACATCATTCATGTATTAAGTTAACAAACACGTAATAAGTCTCTTTTTATGTCATAGGCACTGTGATAGGCAGCAAAACTCTTTAGGAAAAAGAAAAGCTGGGAATTTATCATATACTATTATTTATTAAAGTATACTGGGATGGTATATAGATATCAATTCCCAGCTAATTCTGATCAATTGACAATGGTTATGCCCAAACTCACCAAGAAAGAATGCCATGACTTTTTTTTTTTTTTTAATTTATTTAACAGGTAGAGTTATAGAGAGAGAGAGATAAAGGTCTTCCTTCCATTGGTTCACTCCCCAAATGGCCGCTATGGCCGGCGCTGTGCTGATCCGAAGCTAGGAACTAGGTACTACTTCCTGGTCTCCCATGCAGGTGCAGGGCCCAAGCACTTGGGCCATCCTCTACTGCCCTCCTGGGCCACAGCAGAGAGCTGGACTGGAAGAGGAGCAACTGGGACTAGAACCCGGCTCCCATATGGGATGCTGGTGCCACAGGCAGAGGATTAACCAAGTGAGCCACAGCGCCAGTCCCTTAGCACTGTCTGCCATGTGTAATGGATGGGGAGCAACAGTACATACTACACACCTGTCATTTCTCACTCATATTATAATGAACACTAGAATTCCCAGCAGTCACAGAAAATACAGTATATTTGTGATCATTGTATTTCCCCTGCCAGGTAAGTATGCAGATACAGTATCTTGAATTGGCAAAGCATCATTCTAAACATTTTTATATATGTTCATTTATGTTGTCCTAAAAATGTTTTCCATTAGGTAGGATAATCATTGCTTTCACTTTGTTGGAAACTGGGGAACAGACAGGTATAGCTGATTTGCCCAGGGCCACACAAGTAGTTAATGGCAAAATCTCTATTAGAGCCCAGATTCTCTCATTCTTAAATGATTTGCCTTTGACCTTTATAGTTACAGAGTTTTAGAACAGATTAGTTTCCATATAGTCTCTATTTCCACTAAGGAAAAAAGAAGAGGAAATGGGTTTAAATTATCACACAGATTTAAGCTAAACAAAAGGAAGATTTTTCTGACAGTGAAAAATGCTAACCATTGTTACAGATAACTAAAAAAAGAAACCCGTCATATTTTGTTCTCTGGACACATACAGACACGCACTCACACACTTTTTGCTCGGAAAAAGATGTCAGTTACCTCAAAACTTGGAGAATGATTACAATATTGGAGGAGCATGAGTTTTAATTAGGTGGTCTAAATTCAAATATTTCCTCTTAATTTACCAATTGGATGACCTTAAGTCGGTTACTTAACTTCTCTGAACCAGCTCTAAAATCCTTCACAGAACTATAACACAATATCAGCACAATATGTTACACTGATTTGCCTGAAATTCCATTCCAGTCTTTTAAATCAATAAAACCTTTTTATAGATTTTAATCTTAAAATCTTAGAACTGAAATAGGAGGAGAAACAGTTTACCAAAATATCTATAAGAGGTTCATATTTTCTCACAAATAATTCCACTAGACTAAGTCTTAAGGAAAGAAACAAAATCTGATTCTCTCTCTCTCTCTCTCTTTTTTTTTTTTTTTTTGATAGGCAGAGTTAGTGAGAGAGAGAGAGACAGAGAAAAAGGTCTTCCTTTTCTGTTGGTTCACCCCTCAAATGGTTGCTACGGCTGGCACGCTGTGCCAATCCAAAGCCAAGAGCCAGGTACTTCCTCCTGGTCTCCCATGTGGGTGCAAGGCCCAAGCACTTGGGCCATCCTCCACTGCCTTTCCGGGCCACAGCAGAGAGCTGGACTGGAAGAGGAGCAACCAGGACAGAATCCGGCACCCCGACCGGGACTAGAACCCGGGGTGCAGTGCTGCAGGTGGAGGATTAGCCTATTGAGCCACGGCCGTCAGCCTCTCTCATTCTTTACCATAGGGAGCACAGTCCTTGACACAGGGCAGGTGAAGGTGCTCAAGAAATGCCAAATGGAGCTAATAATAACACAGACATTTTAAAATAAAAAGTGTAATGATGAAAAATATGTACCACTTGGTGAAGTTTATTACTAATAAAAACTCCAGCAGCTAACATTTATCGTATATTAATTATAGGCCTATTGAAACAGGAACAAGAGAGTTCCTATGGTTTTTGAAGGTGACTAAGTATCTTTCATAGATTATCTCACTTGACTGCCATCTTATGGATAAGGAAACAGAGGCCTTCAAAGAGTCAGTAATTTGTCCAAGGTCACACAGCAGAGCTATGTGTACCAAGCACCAAGATGTGGACCTAAGCAGTTTGTTTCCAGAGTCTAAAATATTATCCACAATACTGCACTGATTCCTCCATCTCTGGTGGAAAAAGAAAAGATGTGGAGCAAAATTATCTGTTCTCCTTACAGAAAAAAAAAATCTTTAAGTCAGAAGCCTTGGGCTCCATAAAGGCATGTATATGAGTATCTGCTCCATACAGAAACAGGATGGAAAGATTTTCCTCAGGCATTTTCTCAGATACAAAGAATGAGAGAGCTCTGAGGTATAATCAAGGAAAGGTTCTCTGTAAACCACTGCAGCTCAGGATGAAACAGACAAGAGAACCCTATCCCAGTGGGTCTCTATTCATAAATAAAGAGTGTCTTGAGAAAGTAACAGGGTACCCTTTCAACCAAGTTTCATTTTTAATTGCATCACTAAAATGTCCTTTGAATAGCAAAAAACATTTAAACACAAGAAGTGGAGCTGAATGCTGATGTGCCCACAGAGAAATAGATAATACTCAGATAATACCCATGGATAATAACTACTGCAGTATCTGTAGAGATACATATGATATTACACCCACGCAGAAGTACGATGCATTGCAAAATGAGTCCCATCTCCCTTTATAGATATCAGTCATTACCTTCCATTGATCTTTTGAGATAACTGCAGTTATCACATAGAAATCATTTTCTTAGAGATAATCAATTAATAAAGGGGTGTAGACACTGCACTTTCTTCTAAAAAACCAGAGGAATCTTCTCGTTTTGATAGTCTGAAAGAGGCCTTTGAGTGGACAACTGGAAAAAGTCAAATGCCTCATTATAATCAACAAGGTTTCAAAAATTAGCTGGGTTCAATTCTGAAGCTCTAGCACCTGCCATGACGCACTCTGTCACTGGTTATCTGGCCAGTGCAGCTGAGGCTCTGCAAGCTGCCTGCTATCACCAGAGCAAAGTGGACAGGAAGTATTAATGGCCTTGTTACACCGGCCATAAACAAGGAGTTTGAAACTTCAATTCGTTTAATGGAAAAATGAAGTTACTTTTTGGTAAGTGGAATTTTCAGAATAAATTGCCTTCACAGATTTCACAGATCTTGGGCTAAGGCAGTGAGACTGCCTAAAGCCTGAAGGTTGATAAGTTTTTAACTGCCACGACTGAGTCCCAAACCTTCATACAATTCAACAGTCTTTAACGGGAGAGAGAGAGATTTTAACCTCAACTCCAACCTATAATGGAAAGAAAAATCCTGATTATGGATCAGTGGAAATATTTCCTGAGAACTCTTAGATACTGAAACATAAGCATAAGACAGCTGAATCTAAATGTACTCTAATTGAACCACTCGGGATTGTCTTTAAAATGACGAAAATACCTTCTGCAGTTACTATCATCATTGTCACTTGCTAGCTTTTCTTTAATTTGTCTGCCACCTAAGATTTAAACCATTTGATAACATCATGGCAATGTCATGGCCCAGTAAAACCACAGCAAATAATGTCTTCTGCCTGGGAGATTATTATATCTTCTTAGGAAAATCTTTCTCAGAGTTTGTTGCAAACCCCATAGAAAAAGCCAAGAATGATCTGAGAAGGCCAAAAAGGATCTCTTGGAAAACAACAGTAGAAGCATGGATTAGGATGCCTGGAAACAGGCAGACAAATCCCACAATAGTATCCTCTTGAATATAAGGCTTGAAAATAGTTTTTACACACTGGGGAGTTTCCAGGAAATGGAAACAATAAAATGGAATAGGCTTCGATCACACACACACACACACACACACACACCCCATTTTACAGTGAGCTCTAGAGGAACTGGAGAACACCATTGCTTCAGCTCACCTCGGGCTTCTTGCAGTTTCTTGAGCTCTGCTTCCCGATCTGTTTTGCTCTGTTTGCTTCGAACCCCAAGGGCACTGATGACTAACCTTCTGGCTAGAGCTGCTGAAGTCTCAGGCCGCTCCTTTGCTGGCTGGAGGAACTCTGAATGGGAGAAAGGGTGGCAGAAGGTGAGGGTAAGGAAGGGAAAGCATTCCAGATCCAAGTGATTTAACTCAGTAATTAACATACAAAATAGACTAACAAAGGCTGCATCAGCAGTAATTAATACAAGCCTGATAGATGATGATCAGAGGAAATTAACATGGCAAAGCACGAACAACCCTGGCTTCATTATCTGCATTACCACAATTCCTTACAGTGACTATCATAGCTAATACAGAAGCAGAGATGTCATCAGAAACCGGCTGCTGCACTGCTTGCAGTTAGTATCTTCCATTTTCCAAGCCACTCAGATGCCCTATTTTCAACATGGTCTTTTTTCCTTTTTGTCTTTAAAAACATGCTTCCTAATTTAACATAAAACTAAAAATGAAATGCCTTTAGAACTATGGACAGTGTACAACTAATGGAAAAAATCAGTAACTTCACCATCAACAAGAAAACAAATCCAGAGATTACAGGCTTACCAGCAAAAGCTCTAGCTTTGGCCTTGGCTGCTCTTGTGGCCTGTGACAAGGGTCGAATCTTCACCATGGTATGTTTAATACCCAGAGCATCACGAGCTGCAAAGAGGAATAAATGTAAGGAAGTATGCATGAAGGAGGGACAAAAAGAAAAATTAGGGGCTACTTCTTAGAAAATATTTCTTAGATGTTCTGTTTTTCTTTTTTTTTTTCTACAGAAAAAAAGAGATTATAGATAGATAAAAATCTATAAGGTACAACTTGGCTGTGATTAATTAGTTAATCTTATTTGAGAGTCTGGGAGATAAGAGCTCCCGACTACTGGTCTATTCTCCAAATGCCCACAACAGCTAGGGCTGGGCCAGGAACTCAATCCAAGGCTCTTACATGGGTAGCAGAGGCCTGACCACCTGAGCCATCATCAGCTGCCTCCCAGAGTGTGCGTTAGCAGGAAGCTGGAATCAGCAGCAGAGCTGGACTTGAACCCATACATTACAATATAGGATGTGGGCATCCTAACCAGCATCCCAACTGCTTTGCCAAAAGCCCACTCAAGTTAAGATTTTTTAAAAAGGATTTATTTTTATTTGAAAGGCAGAGTTATAGAAAGAGATATTCTGTCCACTGATCTCTTCTCTAAATGACCACAATGGCCAGGGCTGAGCAAGGACCTGGAACTCCATTCAGATCTCCAAAGTGGGTAGCAGTAGCCAAATACTTGGGCCATCCTCTGTTGCTTCCCCAAGTACATTAGAAAGGAGCTGCATTGGAAGTGTAGCAGCCAAAACTGAAATCAGAGCTAATATGGGATGTTGGTGTCACAGGAGGCAACTTAACTCACTACACCATGACACTGGCCCTGAGTTATGATCATTTTAGATCAGGAATCTGTAAACTATGGCTCTGTAATCAAATCCATCAAACTACCTGTTTTTGTAAATAAAATTTTACTGAAATCGAGTCATGTCTATTTCTCTGCATACTGTCAGTGGCTGCTTTTTTGCCTGACAGAAAATTTTGCCCTACAAAATCTAAGACATTTATTATATAGTCCTTACAGCAGATCTGTATTCTAGGAGGTTAAGTGAGGAACCAATATTCCAACACCTCTAGTTTTTATGAATGCCTCTGCATCATACTTATCAATGAATCGAATCATATATGTAAGTCAGCCCAATCACACATTGAGAGAGTGAGTATTACAATTTCTTACTGGACCAGGAAAAGGGCTTCTTCAAATTCATTTGTCTTGCTGGCGCCGTGGCTCACTAGGCTAATCTTCCACCTTGCGGCGCCGGCACACTGGGTTCTAGTCCCGGTTGGAGCGCCGGATTCTGTCCCGGTTGCCCCTCTTTCAGGCCAGCTCTCTGCTGTGGCCAGGGAGTGCAGTGGAGGATGGCCCAAGTACTTGGGCCCTGCACCCCATGGGAGACCAGGAGAAGCACCTGGCTCCTGCCATTGGATCAGCGCGGTGCGCCGGCCGCGGCGGCCATTGGAGGGTGAACCAACGGCAAAGGAAGACCTTTCTCTCTGGCTCTCTCTCTCTCACTGTCCACTCTGCCTGTCCAAAAAAAAAAATTCATTTGTCTTAGGGAAAAAAAAAATCACAAATATTGTTAAGATTTAGTCCCATGATCTTTTTATTTTATTTATTAGATTTATTTATTTTACTTGAAAATCAGAGTTATACAGGAAGAGAAGGAGAGGCAGAGAGAGAGAGGTCTTCCATCCACTGGTTCACTCCCTAGATGACCGCAACAGCCGGAGCTGCACTGATCTGAATCTAGGAGCCAGGAGCTTCCTCTGGGGCTCCCACGTGGGTGCAGGGGTCCAAGGGCTTGGGCCATCTTGTACTGCTTTCCTAGGCCATAACAGAGAGCTGGATCAGAAGTGGAGCAGCCGGGGCTCGAACTGGCACCCATATGGGTTGCCGGCGGTGCTGCAGGCGGCGGCTTTACCGCTGTGCCACAGCGCCAGCCCCCCATGATCTTTTTAATTTCTACTATAAACTGCTGATGCACTGTCATGACTACAGATAAGTATGCAAATAACCTTGGAAGGAGCTGGCTCTCTCTCCAAATTCGATGATTAGATTATAGTTGAAGGAGAGAGAGAGGGAGAGGGAGAGCACATGGGTATCAAAGAAGCATGCACCAAAAATCTGTATCTGGGGATGGGCATTTGGCCTGCATCTTATTTCAGAGTCCCTGGGTTCAAATCTCAGCTCTGCTTCTGATTCCACCTTCCTGTTCATGTATACCCTGGGAGGCAGCAGGTAACGGATCAAATATTTGGGTCCCTGGAAACCTATATTGAGTTCCAGGCTCCTGGCTTCAGCCTGGCCCAGCCCTGGCTATTAGGTGGGGTCTGGGGGAGTGAATCAGCACATGGAAGATCTCACTCTCTCTGCCTTACAAAAATAAAAATTAAAAAAAAAAATCTGTCCTATTACATATGCTGGTTGAATAAAATGCCAATTGGCTGAAATCAAAACAAGTAGCAGGAGAAAATGGACAATATGAAATGAATAGAGATATCTATTAAGTGATTACCTGTAACTGGACTGGAGAATACTCCCAGGGCATGTGTATCATCTACCCATTTAATATCAAAACCTTTCTTTCTGCAACAAAAGAAAACAATTTTGTTTCTTAAAATAAAATCTACTTTTATTAAACATCTTTCAAATAGTCTCATAAAGCATTTCATGAGATAGAAACACTCAACAAGCACACAGGTGGAATGGGATAATGACACAAAAACAGCTTGGAGGACAGAAGAAGCCAGTGAATTTTAAAAGCAATAATACCACCATAAAGAACCACCCGGGAGTATTTTACATTCTCAGCCATTTTACAGACATCAACTAATTAATCCTCACAAGCCCCTTAGGGAGGTATTTAATGCACTATTTACAAGAGATGTTCTTATAGGAAGGGATTGAAAAGAGATGGAAAGAGGAGGCAGAGGAGGAGTAGAAGAATAATATAAGAGGAGGACACAGGAAAGGTCATCTGGATTTAATGCAAAGGTAAACAGTCTTGGGGTGGGTGTAGGGAGGGTGGAGACAGTGGAGGTGGACAGAGAACAAGATTGCAAGATGTTGCTCAAATAATAAAAAAAAAAACAGTCAATAGGAAAAAGGGACAACTGTAATCATAGAGGCTGATCTTTCTCACTTTTTGGAGAAAGGAAGAAAGGAGAAATAGGAAAGAATCATAGCAAAGTCAGAAAAATTAGGATAAAATAAATCATGATACAAACAGGAGATCAGATTAGAAAGTATCAAAAGAATTAACACTGCAGTACTAGAAAATCCTTACTCTGGATCAGAGTTATAGAGTGAGTACAAGGAATATCAGAATGATGATACAATAGTTTACACAGTTCAGTGGGGCAACATGAGATTCAGGGACAGATAAATGGACTCAAGGTTCTGCTATCTTGAGACTTGGGCAGCTTTAACTTTTCTTAGTGCTAGGTCTGTTCATCTGTAGAAATGGCCATGGCACATTCCTCACAGAATCACTGTGAAAGTGGAAATGAGATCATCTATGACAAGGCCAAGAACAGTGCTCAACATTTAGTAGGCATGCAATATATGAATGGTGCTTATTATTTTAATGACTGATAGCAATTTTCATCACAAATACATATTAATATAGATGAAATGGTGATTAAAACATGAAACTCTGGTATTTGATTCACAGACTTTATCATATAGTCTTTTGCATAATGACTACTTTTTTTTTTAGAAATAAATCACTATACAGAAAAAAATGACAACCACTAAAATATTTTCTCCCTTTAATAATCAATCAAGAGAAAAATTCCTTTGAGGATAAAAATTAAGAGGCCTTGAAAGTTAGAGAATTTCCTGAATTAAAGGGTAAATCTGGGGCCAGTACTGTGGCGAAGAGGGTAAAGCCACTGTCTGCGACGCTGGCATCCCACATGGGCAACGGTTCAAGTCCTGGCTGCTCCTATTACAATGCAGCTCCCTGCTTATGTGCCTGGGAAGACGGTGGAGGATGGCCCAAGTCCTTGGGCCCCTGTACCCACACGTGAGACTTAGAAGAAGCTCTAGCCTCCTAACTTTGGCCTGGCCTAGCCCTGGTCATTGCAGCCATTTGGAGAGTGAATCAGCGGATGAAAGATCTCTCTCTCTCTCTCTCTCTCTCTCTCTCTGTCTCTCCCTCTCTCTCTTTAACTCTTTCAAATAAATAAATATATATATTTAAAAAAAAAAAGGTAAACCTGACCATGGCATAAAATGACTACAGAGACTGGAGACTGTGGAAAAGCTAGAAAGTATATACTTCTATACTATAAGATAATTTACAAAAAGGACAGGAAAAAGATCTAGATGAGTTGAGTTTTTAGACTTTGGAATTTCATAATCCGTTAAAATTCTCTTCCAGGTAAGATCAGGAAAAAGCAAAGCAAAGGGAAGTAAATAATTCATAATAATTAACTAATTTCTAGGAAATCTTAGACATCAACAATTCATTTTACGAATTCTGATATTGGACTGCAACAAATCAAACTAGTGGCCAACACTAGACATTCAGAATATTGGTTCTGGAAGAGACTAACTGTCCTCCAGAACCCACTCACCCTCTACTTTCAGTTACAGAACTGATGCTTTTCCCAGGCAAGTCTGAATGATTGAATCAGTATATAGCTGCAAGCTAGTTTTGTCTAGGACTTTTTAATGAAATTTTATTTATTTCATTCAGAAGTTTTTAGGCCATCAAGTGAATTATCACCACCCAAAGAAAAAACCAGAACAAAGTACGATAATATCTTTCAGTTTCTGAGAATTCTGTACCCAGTAAAATTGTCTTTCAAAAAAACAAGCTGAAATAAAACCATTTAAAAACCCCACCAAACTGAATTGGTAGGCTGTTACTAGGTTAAATACTAAAGAATATGTCCCATGAAGGAGGAAACAGTGTTCACATGGGAGGTAAGATACAAGAAGGTATAAATAAAAAACACAAAAAGTAGGTAAATTTGAGTGCTAAATATATAAAACAGTAATTATGGTAAATGGAGTTTAAAAGGAAAAGGAAAAATAAATTAATCAAATAGTCACAATAATATATAAGATGAGGAGGGAGGGGTTAGGAATTAAAAGCCCTTACAGTTTTTAGAAAAAGGGTAAAAACATTAACTTTAACCAATGGAAAAGTGAAGTATGTATTTTGTAATTTCTAGAGCAATCATCAAAGAATAGAAAGAACATCATTTCTATGAAAAATGGAACAAGAAAAAAAACCTAATCGATCCAAAATAAGGCTATGAAGAAGAGAAAAAGATGGAACAAGTAAACACACATAAAACAGATAGCAGGCAAATAGAAGGGCACCTTAAAAAGTTTGTGAAAAAATGGAATTAAAAGTTAAGTTTACTAATTAAAAAAATTTTTTTTAGATATTTATTTTATTTGAGTGGCAGAGAGACAAAGCCAGGGCTAAGCCAGGCCAAAGTTAGGAGTTGGGAAATCAATCCAGGTCTCCCCCATTGTTGGCAGGGACCCAGCTAGTTGAGCTATCATTTGGTGCTTCCCAGAATATGCATTAGCAGGAAGCTAGAATCTAGAGTGGAGCCAGGATTCAAACCCAGGTAATTCTAAGGCATGCCAAGCAGTGTCTTAACTGTTAGGACAAATGCCCAGCCCAATAAATTATGGTATAAAAAATGTTTTGAAATCTATGCATAGGTTTTTCATAATATACATTCTTTATGATCTTTGTGGGGACCCTTGGATTTCAAATTTTTGCACCAAAATAAAATCGTAATTCCACTTTCTAAAAACCTTTTGAAATCCCTTCATACACAAATATGTATTTAGATATATATTTAAATATATACATAATTACAATAAATACAAATAGGCTAAATGCACCATGAAGACAGATGTAAGAGTCAGCACAGATGACAAAGTCTTAAATGCTAAAGCAGGGCCTAGAAAGGCTGTCTTGTATTTTTAAGGAACTAAGAAGAAGAGTAATTCAATACAAATTATTTCTAATGGACCTGGAAAAGATAATGAACAAACCTGACGCTCAAGTGAAAATCAGAAATATGAAAACAAAAGATTCTTTTTCAGGAGACACTTTAAGAAAATTTCATCCCATCTTCCCTAACACCAGCACTATTCGCAAATACTTACTGATAACTGCAGAAAACCCGTAGAAGGTCTTCAGTACGAAATTCTTGGGGGAAGTCATAAATTTCAATGACATGAGGGAATTCACACTCACTGAGGTCAATATCAGGAACTTTATGGTTATAATAATCAAATCTAGGTTCCTGGATGCTTTCTCTGTTTATATTCCCTGATAACTAGAGAGGAAGAAACACATAAATGACTGTTACAACAAACCTGAGCACTATAGAGTATTTTACAATTTATAAACAATATTGTTCCCGGTCTCCATTTTTCCATTCCTTAACCTTTCACATTCTCTGTATATTAATGCTTTTCACAGATACAATGATGACCAGGGGTTTATCACCCAGTTTATATTATAATGTAAAATACCTGAAATGGATGTTGAACTTCTGGCAGATTGGCAATGCATAAAATCTAACCTGCATCTATCAACCAGCATATGAGAAAATATAGACAAATACATTGAGTTACAAATGGCACATCTTGGAAACTGACTCTCAAACAAGAACTGAAGAGATAAATTTATAATTTTAATTTGAGCTTATTGTTCATGCTCATCTCAGTTTCTCTTCTGGAAGTAAATAAAAACAAAAGTTTTTTTTATTAAAAAATTTATTTCACCCTTCGTTGTATTATAAAAAGTTGAAAAGACAGTTTACAGAGGAATTTGCTAATATAAATGCAAACGGTACAAGTAATCATACTCAAGTTCTCTGGCTGAGAGCCACCTAACAATTTCCTACTTTAACAGGTTAGTGAAGGAATTAATGGTAATGAAAAATACTTAAAATTCTACTATCACATAAAATAACTGAAGGCTAGTAACTATTAACAATGAAATCAGCAAAAGGGAAATGGGAAAGTCAAAAGTGACAGCAAAGTCATGGCAGTCATTTTGTCATTCAGCTGTTATAAAATCGAAATGCTGCTTACTACCGCCTACATAAAGCTGCCAGATCCTTACAGTATCACCTCTGTATCAACCTAAAATCCAACAAGGTTCCATTCAAGCTTTCTGTCTTTTATACTGTCTCTTTCCCCATTAGATGAGAAAAGTGAGTATTTGCAATGCAAAGGATACATCTCCTTTCTCCAGAGAATTGAAAAATGGACTCAGAAACTTTACTGGAAAGCAAGGAAGCAAAAAGTGATATAGATAGTATGTTTCTTCCTGTGTTCTAGTTTTCTCCACTAAGTCTCAGTTTTGGATTTAAGAAATGGATATAGTAATAGTACCCACAACTCATAGATGGGTGGATTAAATGAGATGATGTAATAAATGCTTGACACATAAGTATTCAATTAATTCAACCTACTTTAATTTTAACGAAGTGCTACATCTGCATACCAAGCACCAAGTTAATTATACTCTGCTTAGGCTGTAGAAGGCAGGCAGGCCTTATTCCTCTCACTGTGACAAAGGAAAACATCAGCTGATCTATAAAACCGTTAACTTTTCCTGAGTTCAACAAAGAGCTGAGTTTGCAAGACAACCAACCAAGGGAACTAAAATCTATAGAAGGACAAAGAGAAATAGAATCTATAAACTGTTTCACCTCTGGCAGATCATAGGGGAAAGTATGCCACATAAGCAGGCGAGGAGATCTGAGCCAAAATTGTAACAAATTGTTGAAAGTGTAAAGGAGGTTATTATTGTAAGTTTCAAGTAACTTAGATTCCCTAAAACAGACAAGAGGATTCTACAATCACCTGTAAATCAATCCTTTTGCCAGTGCCACACTGGCTTAATGACTGTAGCTTCACAGAAAGCTTTGAAATCAGGGCGTTTGAGTCCTCCATTTTTGCTGTTTTTTAAAAGCATTTGATGGTTGGGGTCCCTTGCATTTCCACAGGAATTTAAGAATCAGCTTGTCAATTTCTGCCCAAATTGGCAACTGGGACTGCGGGAACATGAATATCAATTTGGGAAGTAACAATACTAAGTTTTGTAAAAGATGAACATGGGATGTCTTTCCATTGATTTAGGTCTGGTGTAATTCTTTCAATAATATATTGTAGTGTTCAGTGTACAAGTTGTACTTTTTTTGTTAAATCTATTCTTAAGTATTTTATTCTTTCTGATGCTACCGTAAATGGAATTGGTTTTTTTATCTCATTTTCTGATTGTTGGCATTGACTTTTTGAGTTACTTTGCTAAAACCAAACCAAATAAAGAACTGCATGTAGAGCTTTTATGAATTGGGGCTAACCAATACACTGTGAGAGGTACAGTGCAAATCACAAAATATCTTAGAACTATAAATACCAAGAACTGATTATAAACAAGAAAGAAAAAGGAAGGTCTGGCAAGAAAATGTGATTACAGCTCCTCATTCTAACCTGGTCTGCAAACTGAACTTGCACATTTACATCTCATTTCTGAGGTAAATAGTAAACATTTCAGCTTCTGACACTTAATGAAAACAAAGTGCTAACAATAGCAAAAAAATTTAATTATTATCCTACATTTCATGAAACAACATATATAAAGCCCACAAATTACACATCTTTTCCCAGTATGCTTGGAAACGCTAGGTGGAGAGATACCACTAATAAAGTTGAAAGGCTGAATAATAAAGTGAACTCAGGCAGAAGAATCCTAAATGTTTGAATCTTCCAAAACTAGTTCTGGTAGCTTAATTCAGGTACTGCTATGATGTTCAGTGACAGTGGCTGTCCATGAAACCTAAGAAAAATTGCAATGAAGACAAAATTTGTATTTATTGCCATTCCACTTTTTGCTTGGTTTCTCTAGATCCCTGATCCACTATTCCCTTATGCTATCTTTAGCTACCTCAATTCCTGAATCATATCCAGACCTCTTCCCTGGTATTAAAAAAAAAAAAAAAAAAAAAAAAGGAAAATTTCTCTTTCATTAGTATATAGTCTTTGCCCAACTGGCCCTCTCAGCAACAGGTAATAGATATATACCCTTCCAACCTTCAACAGCAGACTCAGAAGTAAGCCAAACCCAATTTAATTGTATAATCCATCATCTGAAGGATCAGAAATTTGTCTTGATGCTTTATGCCTGGTATCCAGTATTTCTGATTATCCTCTAGGATTTTTCTGAACAATAACAGCCTTCAGTCAATCTATACAAAAAATTTTCTGTATAAGATTACTTGTTAGCACTCCCTCTGTCCAGATTCTAGGCTTTATTACAAATCTTCACTTTCTTATACACCCTAACCCCAGAGACATCACAACAAAAAAGAATTCTGAGTTTAAGTGTATTTTAGACTGTTGAGTACATATTTCAGCAGTCATACCCATGGCTGGATCATTCCTTTCTTCACTAGTACACCTCCCCACTAAAGCCTAGCAACAAAGAACCCATTTTTAGAAAACAAGCATGCTCTGATCCAACAAATGATTAAATTAATACAAGGGGAGGTGTGTGGAGAGTGTAATTCTCCCAAAGGTATATTTCTATCTCTAACTAAACTTTTTTAAACTTTAATTTTTGAACATACCTGTTTATGAACAGGGTACAGAGTCCAGTGTTCTCTTTGACAATCCTAACTTTCCTCCCAGCTACTGTTACTACACAGATAATGAATTAGGAGTCCTAACATTACCCTGACCCGATCTACGCCAACCATACCCCATATACCATATCTTACTGAGCTCACTGAAACAAAGGCATTGCTAAGGAAAAATTAAGGCACACTAGGAATCTCCGCAGCTGCAAACAAGAACTCTTAAAAGCTTCCCTTGAAGCAGGCCACACAGCAGACTCAAAGAATGACAAATGCTCTAAATAGCACTCTGACCTCAGAATCAGTCTTTACGGCATTTAGATCTGGCTGAAAAGCCCATGAGAGCATTTCATGCATGGAAAGCCAAGATACTGTGACAAAAAATAATCTACACAAGGGATCTCATGTGAGATCCCAGTGGAAAGGGGCCATCAAAAAAGGATGCAATTTTCTCTGAAAGGAGGAGAGAACTTCTACTTTGCTTATGGCCCTGTCTAAATACTGAAGGAGACTGTGGATTCAAAAGGCTTCCATACCCTTGGCAGCTCATGACAAAAGTCTCAGGTGATCACTGACGTCATAAATAAGAGTGTCAATTGTTAAATCAACAACAGGAGCCACTGTGCACTTGCTCCATATGTAGGACCTCTGTCCTTAATGAGTTGTACTATGAGATTTAACGGTAAAACTTGTCTTCAAACAGTACTTTATACTTTGTGTGTCTGTGTGGGTGCAAACTGTTGAAATCTTTAATTAGTACAGTTGATCTTCTGTATATAAAGATAATTAAACATGAATCTTAATGAAGAATGGGATGGGAGAGGAAGTAGGAGGTGGGACAGTTTGGGGGTGGGAGGGCAGGTATGGGGGGGAAGAACCACTATATTCCAAAAGCTGTACCTATGAAATTTATAGTTATTAAATAAAAGCTTTCTAAAAAAAAAAAAAAAAGCTTCCCTTGTACTGACAATAGAAGCCCAAAAGTGTCTGCCTTTCTTCAGTTTTAAAAAGGGATCAGAAATCAAAATGTTGCTGACATGTATGCTGACTCGAAAGCAAAAACATGCAATAAATCTAACAGAGTTCAGAAGAAAGATCTTCAATTTTAGGAGTAACCTGGCTTTAAAAAAAAAAAAAGAAAGAAAAAACCTATGAACCATGGAACCTGCTTATTGTTCTTTCTGTGTTAACCAGAGATCTAGCCATCATTTACTAATGGAAGAATAGAGTACATAATTCCATCAAACTCTGCTGCGTGTCCCAGGTGACTGCATTAGGATATAAAGCATATGGAAGGTGAGTCTACAAATCATCACTTACACAGTCAACAACATGTCAATTCAGACATAGTTACAAATCTATTAAAATGAGTTGAAACTAATAAAAGATACTGTGAAAATAGAAATTAGAGAACAATGAGGGGGTATGTGGGTACCCTATGTTTCTATTAATTTTTTTGTAAGCATAAAACTGCTAAAAATACATTAATCTTTTTTAAAAAACAGAAATAAGGGACATAAAATAATACAAAGTAGAACTATAATCTTAAATCTATGGCCTTGCCAACATGCAGATGTACCCATCAGTTTAGCCCTGGGGGATCAAATCTCTTTTGGAACCACTACGTCACTCATCAGACAGCAAAACACTGTTTTTGTGCATCTCTGACAAAGCTGTTTTATATGTTGCTTTATATTAATTACCCTTCACACCGCTATGCAGCTATCAAATCACATGTTTACATACTGTCTGTGCAAATAAAATATAAGCAACTTCAGAACATAAAGAAGGCTGGCATACAGCATCGCCTTTAACACAGTACTGATAATAATAACATATACCTAGCTATTTGCAATTTATAGTTTATCAAACTCCAAGTGCTCAAATTTGCTATTTAACTGAAAAGTGGTGGGGTACCAAACTATTTACAAGGCCTCCAAAGGTGGGATACGAAGAAGTTTCTTCCCTTTGTAATTTGCTTTTAGTGGATGCCTTAATAATTTTTCCTTTCAGGTACCTGGGTTTGATTGCCAGCTGTGGCTCCTGTTCAGCTTACTGCCAATGCAGATCTTGGAACATGGGAGTGATGGCTCAAGTAACCGGGCTCCTTCCACCCATTTGGGAGACTTGGATTGTGTTCCTGGCCCCCAGTTTTGCCCCCTGCCAGTCCAGCCATTGTAGGCATTTAATTAAACCGCAGATGGGAGCTCTGTTTTTCAAGTAAGTAAGTAAGAAATTATTTTTTAATCCTTATTGATTTTTTTTTTACTTGGGACAGCATTTTTGCAGAAGACTACGGAGACACACAGACAGTGTGAGACATGAATTACCAGACATAGAGAAGAAAGGTGGGTTGGAATGCAGGGTTTTCTTCATTTTTCTCTTTTCCATGATTATACACTGTTAATGGCCCTCTTAAAAAGGACTTTCCAAATGGAAGGCTTTAAGTTCTTAAAACAATCTAAATATTTACCCCCATGTAAAAACTCAAGTCAAGGCCATAAATGGCTAATGAAGGTGCCAGATGCCAGTATCTGTCAACATCAACATTATGTTACTGGTACCTTTCTACCAACAGATTTGTTGATCAATACATGAGGCAGAAAGGGATTTGGATGATTTTTCTAAAGAACAATAACTCCCATGTTCTAATACCAAGATCTCACAGGGCTAAGAGAAGTCATGCCAACATCCTCACCTTTATCACTTACCAACTCTGGGCATTCCACACCATGGTTAGGAGATTAAGTGTAATTTTTGGAGGCCCATCAAAGCTGCAGTCCTGGGAGTTCAACAATGACCTAACTATGCTCTAACTCCCTTGGACAGTTTTAAAGGTTCAGACGCTACAGGAAATTGCTTCAGAGGCCAATGGCTGCCATATTTTGTTCTACGGTATACCTCTCTGCTTATTAGAAGTATTAGATATACTCCCATATGTCTAGCCATTATCAACAAAGAAATAGGCCAGCTGAGAAAATAGCCAAACATCTTAGGCTAAAAAGGTTTCATGACAAGCAAGGCACTCTGGGTTAGCATTTAATAAAGTATATTTAAGCAATATAAATAATAAACTGAATGTCACCAAAGGACTAATAATGTTACTGGATATGTGATATCTTTTAATACTATTATTACATCTTCTAAAACACAAAGCAGAGAGATCATAGTTTGAAGCTAGATCTCTGCTATCCACATTTTCAATCCATCTCCATCTTTCCTGATCATCCTTTGTCACAGATCCCACTCCCTCCTAAGGACCTCAAAATATAACCAAACGCAACTCGGAGGCACTAATTGTCACATCTTAAAATATATAAATTATGCTTTCTTGCCATTCTCAGCTTTAAGTCTTGCCAATATCCTTTGTTTAAAGTTTTACTTAAAAAAAAAAAAGATTTATTTATTTGAAAGGCAGAGTGACAGAGGGAGAAACAGAGAGATAAAGATCAATCTTCCATCCACTGGTTCACCCCCCTAAATGGCCACACCAGACAGATACAAGGAACCTAGTACTCCATCCAGGTTTTCCAGGTGAGTGGCAGGGGCCCAAGCAATTGGGTCATCTGCCAATGCTTTCCCACATACAATATCAGGGAGCTGGATAGGAAGCAAAGAAGTTGGAGCTCAAACCCAGTGCTCTGGTGGCTTGACCCCCTGTACCATAATGCCAGCCCACCAATGTCTTCTTTAATTATATTACTATGCTTCTTAAAATACTGAGTTGTTGCCTAAATTCTTCTGCACCTGTTCTCAACGGTGAGTGGTAAGACGTGAAAAACTGAGTTATACATCCACACCCACCTCTTTTCCTCCTCTGTATGGGGAGCCACATCCTTAATCTATCACACAGAATCCAAGATCCTCAACAGTGACAGTCTGAAAACCCTTGGAGGCCAAGCTAAACCGTCAGAGGGCCCCAACTCTGCCCTCTCACCTCCATCCATGCAAAAAATATTGAGTAATACCATGCATAAAAGGCTCTACATACCACACACTTCTTCTGTAGGAAGCTGTGTTGTCTCTCCTCTAAGCACATGTGCCCCTCAGGTAGTCCTTTTGCCAATTCTTTTCTCAGACTAAGGCCTGCTCTCAATGCTCTGATTCATAATAACCTCTCTATACTTATCTAACTTCCCCATTATAAGTATTTCTTAACCTGACTTGGGTCTTAAAACCTATGCTGAACAGTACTTTTTCTAATTATAGGCTGACAGCTACATGTAGTTCCCCACTCACACTCTGATGTGTAAGTTTGTATGTTACCTCTGAACAGTGGTTCTCAAGCTTGATGTGCATCAGTATCATCTGAAAAAGTTGTAAAAATACAGATCGCTGGGGCAGGCATTGTGGTGCAATAGGTTAAACTGCCATCTGTAATGTCAGCATCCTATCTTGGAGCATCAGTTTGAGTCCTGACTGCTCCACTTCCCATCCAGTTCCCTGTTAAAACAATTGGAAAGGGTTCAAGTACTTGAAGCCCTGTCACCCATGTGGGAGACCCAAAAGGAGTTCCTGTGGAATTCTTGGCTCCTGGCTTCAGCTTGGCCCAGTCCCAACCATCTCAGCCATTTGAGGAGTGAACCAAAAGATGTAAGATCTCTCAGTCTCTTCTCTCTGTGTCACTCTGCCTTTCAAATAAATAAAACAAATCTTAAAATAAAAATAGATTTGAAGCCAGCATTATAGCACAGCAGGTTAAGGAGACGTTTGTGGTGCCAGCATCCCATATGAGGACAAGTTTAAGTTCTGGCTGTTCTACTTCAATCCAGGTCCCAGCTGATGTGCCTGGGAAAGCAGCAACAGATGGCTGCTTTCCCAGACACATCCACACAGGAGACACAGATGAAGCTCTTGGCTCCTGACTTCAGCCTGTCTCTGACCCAGCTGTTGTGGCCACTTGGGGAATAAACCAGAGGAAGACCTCTCTCCCTCTCTGTAAATCTTTCAAATAAATAAATAAATAGATAGATCTTGAGAGAGATAGAGAGATGGATACTGGAAATGAGAGATAGAGATGCTTGATACTGGAAAGTCAGTTCTTTCCAGTGGGCTGCCCTCTTCAGTCTTCTGGTGCTTAAATACACATGTGATAATTTTTCTATACTTCTGATTTAATTTTCAGGAAAAAAAGAACTATCACTTAATACTTAAAAGGCTCTTCGGAATGGCTCAAATGAAACAGGTAAGGAAATGGTCAGCTGTAAAGAATATGAATGGTGGATTAAGACAGAACTGGACAGAAATTCTGATTCTGCTTTTCCTAAGGATGTGACCACTAAAGCTTCAACTTCCTCATTTATAAAACCAAGGGGTCTTCTAGGGAAATAACTTTTTGCCCTATGAGGCAAAGATTATGTGAACCCACTCTAAAGAATAAAAAGACAAAGAGTGGCCCCACTATTTTAAACCAGTGGTTTCTATTTATGGCAAGAAACTTGTGGGGCTGGGGCTGTAGTAGAGCAGGTAAAGCCACCGCCCACGTGCCAGCATCCCATATGGGCACTGGTTGGAGACCCAGCTGCTCTACTTCTGATCCAGCTCCCTTCTATGGCCTGGGAAAGCAGTAAAAGATGGCCCTAGTGCTTGGCCCCTGAACCTGCATGGGAGACCAGGAAAAAGCTTCTGGCTTCTGGCTTCAAACTGGTACAGCTCAGGCCATTGTGGCCGTCTGGGAGTGAACAAGTGAAAGGAAGATCTTTCTCTCTCTCTGCCACTCCCTCTGCTTCTCTGTAACTCTTTCAAATAAAATAAATAAATCTTAAAAAAAGAAGAAAAAGAAAAGATACTTGCCTGCTAGAGAGTACATGTGTAACTTATGAAAAGACTGAAGAACGAAGTCATTTCAAAGATGCCTTCAAATCCAATATTTTAAATTCCAACTGGTTAGCATGTCACTATTCACTTATGTTTTCTATATATGGCAGTCATTTATTCTTCAATTTAATTCAGTATAACCTTTAAAACAATCCTATTTTATTTTATTCTTCCCTTATCTACTACCTTTCCTCTACAGCATCTAACAACATTCCAACATCTATTAGAAAAATAAATAAATATGATTAATGGTAACATTCTCCACCTCCCAGGAAAGCTGACGTAAAATACATCTTGTCAATACAGAAAAATACTTGGAAGAAGTTTCCCTCATGTTTCCTCAACAAATAGCCAGAAGTTTCTCCCAGATCTCCCATACAGGTGCAGGTAACCATCTTCTATTGCTTTCCCAGGCTACTGCAGAGAGCTGGATCAGAAGAGGAACGGCCAGGACACGAACCAACACCCATAAGGGACGCCAGTGCCACAGGCAGAGGCTTATACTATGCCACAGCACCAGCCCCTAAATTTGCCTTTAATCTCTTCATAAGATCTATCAAGGATTTTCTATATTAGAGAGATAGTTTAATTCTGTATATTTTAATTTTTAAAACTCTGTCAGATAGGAGGAGCTTCAAAAAATTCACAGAAAATGTGCGTCTTTTAATTCTACTTTTCATGAACTTTTCAAAGTCTTCTCATATTCTTATTCAATCTACCCTTAAACTGAATGTATGTGAATGTGTGCAAACGTTTAGCGAAATTACTGCCAAAACCCCAGGTCCCCAAAATTTATACACTGTCTAAGCATCAAGCAATTTCAACATACCTCCTGTAGAAGACGGGGATCCAGGCAGTCACCATCATCATTAAACATAGATTCCCAAGTCTCCTCAGGAGCAGTACTTCCCTCCCTGGGAGACGTTTCAGCTGCTTTCAGTTCCATGGGTGTTTCCATAGATGATTCTCCAGCAGGAAAGGATACACCAAGTTCTATATTCCCTGAGTCATCTTGCTCTTTTGTTTTGAAATCTTCAGCAGTTCTTAGCTCATGCAATTCTTTTGTTATATCACCAGTACCATCCAGATCACTGCCCAAGGCACTGTCTGAAAATACTTTTGTCCCATTTAACATACTGAGTTCAGAGTCCAAAAAAGTGTTACAATTACTATCAGCAATCTTCTTTATAGGTAAGGACGAAGCACAATCTGACAAGTTCTCTATCAACTTTCCTGTTGACTCTGTACAATTAGATGAAATATTCTCAGTGTAAGTATCTGAGTAAGCAGTCAGGTTGCTGAAATTTTCATTGCTGTTCCCACTTGCAACTTCCTGAAGAGGGGCTACATCTGCACTCATTTTTATATATTTTGAGAAATAAGTTACATTGCTACAGGTCTCATCAGCCACTCCACTTGCTACTTCACAAGGACTGTCCATAGTTAAATGATCGCATACAGCATCTGCAATGTCCATCATACATGCCTTATTCGTAATGTCATCTATATTCTTAGATCTAGTATCAATATCTGTTTCACGAGAAAAGACAGCTCTATCAGAAAGTCCACACTTTATACAAACGTCACTGGTGCCAAGGCTATTCTTTTCACACTCTCTAATCATCGTTGGATCAGCAATGACATTTGTGCTCTCTAATTTGCTGACTACAGTCTGTCCATGAACAACAGGACCCAAAGTCTCGGGAATAGAATCTATACCTTCCTGATTCAAGATGAAATCTGTATTGTTGACTGTATCACCTACATTCTCAGGTCCAAAGTCCTCACAAGTTTGGTCAATGACACCATCTGGATGTCCAGAGACAGTAACAGTGGTGATGCCTCCATTACTGAGCCTCAACATTCCATCTGATGTTGGCATACCTTGTTGTACGGTTTCGGAATCAGAGCTTAGTTTAACTGGTATAATCAGGCTCTCAGCTTCTGATACAGAACTAAAAACTCGAGGAAACTGGGATAGTATTTCTCCGATTTTGGTATTGGTTTCATTCCTGCTTTCCAAATCTCTGTCTTCAAAAATTTCCCCACTTAGTTCATGCCTACTAAAATGACTGAATTTGATATTCTGGAATGGTTTGTTTACAACTTGTGCCTCAGTGATTTCTGAACAAGTCTCTGACAGAGGCAACCTCCCATGTTCTATCACATCTGTAGTTTCCATCTCCAAACACTCCATCTTCTTTGGTTTAAAATGTCTTTGTAAAGGTATACTAGGTGCAATCCCAGCATTTGGGATCCTGTGCTGATGTTCTTGGGACAATATTTCTTTGGATTCTGTGGTCCCTCTCTTAGTGCAAACCCCATCTTTATTTCTTTTTTGAAGGCATGTGTCTTTTCTTAATTTCGTTGAAGATGTCTTTCCTCTTCTAACATTATGTTCCTTTCCATCAGGATTAATATTTTGTCTTTGAGCTTCAAGTTTGTCTCTAAATATCTTTTGGGAGAAGCAACTATTTTCTTCTTTCACCGCAGAGTTAGCTGGACTACAGCTCTTTTCCTTTTCACCTGTCTTGAGAAGCACTGCGCCCCTTCGAGCTCTGGGTACATAGAGTGCCATATCAGGCCTTCTGGCTCGAAGTCTGCATCCATCTCCCTCTTGCTGCATTGCACCACTTCAATCTGCAAGAAAAAGAAAGATGATTTAATTACCAGAAACTAATTACAATGTATTGAACCAAGAGATTTTCAAGAACTAGGTAGAGGGCCTACTAATCCATCCTATAGAAATCTTCAAGTGAAAAACGAAAGCAAAACCTGTGATAAAATAATTAAGGTATTCAACTAAGTACAGTAAATTCCCAAAACAATCATTTTGAATTTTATCCAAATATCTTTTTTTATATATTTCTCAAAACCTTTTCCCTCTACCTTCTAAATCTTTTCTATTTTTAAATAAGTAGCTTTGTTTTAAGCTGAATTAAAAAGAGTATCAGAACAGTCATAGTCATCAATGAAACACAATCATCTTCATATTCTGAGAGCTCTGATCTTTACATTGAAGAATATACTCAAGGTGGACCCACCTGAAAACCACATTTATTCAACATAAGTATATACCCACACATAAAACTAAATCAGGGAAGCTTTCTAGAAGATCTTATTGGGCTATGACTTAAAAAAATTTAGGAGTGGGTATTTGGTGCAGTGGCTTAAGCTACTGCTTGGGACATTCACATTCCATACTGGAGTGCCTGGTTCATGTCCTGGCTACTCCAACCCCAATCCAGCTTCCTGCTTAATATACATCCTGGGGGGACAGTAGATGACGTTTTGAGTACTTTGAGTCCCTGCCACACGTGTGGAAGACCCAGATGGAGTTCTGAGTTCCTGGCTTCAGGCTGGTCCAACCCTAGCTGTTGTCAGCATTTGGAGTGAACCAGTGGATGGATGGAGGATTAAGATATTCTCTCTCTCTCTCTCCCTTTCAAATAAAAAATAAAAACAAACAATTTAGGGATACTTCTTGCCAAAGAGGTCTAAATGAGAATATCACAGCAGCCTTTATACCTGAAGGATTAGTCACTCTTACAAAAGAGATAAAATTTCCATACTATGTTTCAATGCTCCTGTGTTTCTCTTGAAGTCAGTATCAGAACCAACTGGTACAAAGTAAAGGAAATCAAGTTTAACCCAAGAAAGAGCTCTACCTCTGAGTTCTCCAGTGCTCATATCAGGCAATGAGCTCTGCCTCTGGGAGAATTTAAATAAAGGTTGGATGACTGACATGCACTAGAGAAAGAATTCTATTTATATAAATGACAAGTTTGTCTAAATTAATCTTAAGCATTCTTCAAGCTCTACAATTTTATGATTTTATTTATGATCTGCAATAAATCTATCAAATACTTCATGTATTTTAAAATTCTTATTATGTGCTATGGCTAATGGCTTTTATTCAACCTTTTTTGCTCAATTAATGCCCACATATTTTCATAATACCATATCCTAATCCTGAATAGCAGTATAGTAAGTTTATATCATCTATTTCTTACCAAAATACTGCATTCAACTGTGTCCTAGTCAGTAGTGTGCTGGTAGTTTAGCAACTAGCTCTCCAAATGTAGTCTGGAGTACTGGTTAACATTTTTGTTTACATCAATGACGTCAACAATATCACTGACCTTTTGGCTTAAGGAAGTGATAGTTTTTGAATAATGGAAGAAAATATGTTCTTTTTTTTGAGTTATTCACAATATATTAAAGATATGACACATCTGTATTAGTATTATTTCTATCACTTTCAGTGTAGATTATCCATAAGTAATAAATCAAATGTTGATTTATGGCATTTTCCAACCTCTACCATGTAAATACACTTACCATGCCTAATTCCAAGCTACCAATGTGACATCATTAAACATGGAATTAGGGAAATATACACATAACTATACTCTTATAGAGTATTTCACCATAAAGATACATTATACATACTCAGAACTTCAAGAACATAGATCATAACAAAATATAGTAACATAATCAAGAAGTGATTTTTAACTGTTAATTACCCTTCTAAAAAGTTTATTTATAGTAAGCCTATGTAATATAATTTTTAATAATGGGTATGCTTAACATTTTTTGAAAAATTCCTAAAATTTTAACAACCAGCTCTCAGGCCAGTTAACAAATTCTCCAAGACATCATTGGCTATTACTATTTTTGAAAAAATAATCTACAGTCACAAAAAAAAAAAAAAGGGAGAAGTATCCCCATCTTGTGGACTTTCAAGATACTGCCAATTTAATTTAAACCCTGGTGTTTTTTGCAATGGTAAGCAAGAAAAGCCTTTAACATTGAAGATAGGGCTGCCTATCATACATAGTCACAAAAATGTATCTTAGATTAAAAATTTCCTACCTAGATACTTATGTAATATTTTCTATCTTTTTCGCTGTTCTTAGTGCTTTAATCAGTCCAGTTTTTTTTTGTTTTGTTTTGTTTTGTTTTGTTTTGTTTTGTTTTTTTTGACAGGCAGAGTTAAAGAGAGAGAGAGAGAGAGAGAGCGCGAGCGAGCGAGCGAGCCGGTGCCATGGCTCAATAGGCTAATCCTCCACCTAGCGGCACCGGCACACCGGGTTCTAGTCCGGGTCGGGGCGCCGGATTCTTTCCCGGTTGCCCCTCTTCCAGGCAAGCTCTCTGCTGTGGCCAGGGAGTGCAGTGGAGGATGGCCCAAGTGCTTGGGCCCTGCACCCCATGGGAGACCAGGAGAAGCACCTGGCTCCTGCCTTCGGATCAGCGCGGTGCTCCGGCCGCAGCGCGCCAGCTGTGGTGGCCATTGGAGGGTGAACCAACGGCAAAAGGAAGACCTTTCTCTCTGTCTCTCTCTCTCACTATCCACTCTGCCTGTCAAAAAAAAAAAAAAAAAAAAAGAGAGAGAGAGAGAGAGAGAGAGAGAGAGAGAGAGAGAGAAAGGTCTTCCTTTTCTGCTGGTTCACCCCCCAAATGGCCACTACGGCTGGCGCGCTACGACAATCCGAAGCCAGGAGCCAGGTGCTTCCTCCTGGTCTCCCATGTGGGTGCAGAGCCCAAGCACTTGGGCCATCCTCCACTGCCTTCCCGGGCCACAGCAGGGAGCTGGACTGGAAGAGGAGCAACCGGGAAAGAACTGGCGCCCCATCTGGAACTAGAACCCGGGCTGCTGGCGCCGCAGGTGGAGTATTAGCCTAGTAAGCCGCAGCACTGGCCCAGTTTGCTTCTTAATCAGAAATCAGTAATCAGCTTTCTGATGTGTATTTTGCAGCTAATTTATTCTGTAAGGGCTATCAACATTCAATCCCATTCAAAATCATACTTCTTAAAGGAGATAAAAATCTAGACTTCTTTATGATGGTGAACAGTCAACTGCTAACCCAATGCCTTTAAAATAAAGAGGCAATAAAATAATGAGACCAAATCATTTTTTTCTATATACTTTAGAAAACTGGGATCACACCTGAACACCTGTCCAATTGTTTCTATAATTTTGAAATTCGAGAGAAAATATTAGTAACTATCTTTAAGTACCACTTTGACCCATCTTCACAAAAGTAAACTAGCACAAAATAAGTCAGGCTTTCACATTTTCACAACATAACATCAATATGATTTGTCCTATATTTGGCATCCAAAACATGTATTCCTCTTCAAATACAAAGTACTGGTACTTAAGGCATTCACTGGATAATGAAACCATGAATTGATTTGATCCAGTACTTAACAAAGGTTCACCTGAGACATTTGATATCTCAGAGAAAATACCTAATGGGCATGATGACTATTCATGCCTCTATAACAAACACTCTAGGCCTCATTACCTTATTAATGCATGAGAATGCATCCTAACTAAACATATATAATTTATATTCTGAAATAATTTCAAATCAATAGTTACGAAAGTAAAGAGTAGACAGTACACATATACCCTTTACTCACATGCACCTACTGTGAATTTATCCCATTTATCATTTGCAATCACACATGTTCTCCCCCTTCTCTCATTTTACCCACACACAATTTTTATGTATTGAACCTTTTGAGAGCAAATTATGGACATCATGGCCCTATGCTCTATACACCAGAGTTTGTGTCCTAAAAAAAAGAAATATTTCTTACATAATCACAATCTAGTTAATAATGCCATCAAATTTAACATTGATCAAATACTTTCTTCTAGCATTAGTATTTCAGTTTTGTCAGTTAATCCATCAATGTCCTTTATAACATTTCCCTCTGATAAACACTCCAGTGTATGGTCAGATACTGCCTTAGTTGCCATGACTTTTTAGCCTCCTACATTCTGGAACATTTCCACAGTCTATTGTAATCTGTTATGACACCGACATTTCTGAAGAATAGTTCCCCTCCTCAGCCTTTTCTTAAAAAGAACATTTATCATTTAAGGTTAGCTTTATGTCTCTCCATAATTAGACTAAGGTTATATATTCTTAGCCAGAATACTACATAGGTGTTGATATGTCCCTGAGGACATAACTCCCACCTGTATTTCAATGATGCTCTAAATCTGATCACCCATTCAAAGTGTTGTCCAATTTTTCTATTGTATAATTACTGCATATTTTCTTCCTGAAAATTAATAAGTAGTATGTGAGAAGTCACTCTAAAAATATGTAAACATCTGGCGTCCTCATAAAAACTTCTCCATAGATTTTCTTTAGAATGCTAACCTGAAATCTTAATAATGGTTGCAAAATGATTTTCCAACTCTACCAGTCCCTTGACGTATTATCAATCAGTCCTTCACATTTTTTCTAAAAGATTTATTTATTTATTTATTTATTTGAGAGAGAGAGACAGACAGACAGACCTATCTTCCACCTGCTGGCTCACTCCCTAAACAGTCGCAATGGCCAGGAGCCCAGAACTCCATCCAGGTCATTCACATGAGTGGCAGGAGCACAAGGACCTCGGCTATATTCTGTTGCTTTCCAGGCGTGTTAGCAGGGAGCTAGATCAGAATCAGAGCAACTGGGATTCAAAGTGGTGCCCATGTGGGATGTCAACACCACAGTTAGTGGCTTAACTCACTGTGCCAAAAGCTAACCCCATTCCTTCACATTTTTTTTTTTTTGAAAGCAAAAGTAAATCACATACCCTGGCTTTCCACAAATGCTAAAATTTCCAAA